TTGGGTACTGAGGAAACAATTTTATTTAAATTTTCACAATCATGGTAACATTAGAAAGCTCTATATTTCAGATATTTCAAGACATTCTGTTTATATTATAATTACTTCTTTAAGTATGAAGTACTTCCCAAATCAATTTCCCGTATTTTTCAAAATTTAGATTTTTTACATATTATTTTCCATTGTTCATACATAACCTAAAATTGACACATTTTTGTACATTTTTTTAAGTAAGCTGTTGGTCCGATGTTTATTTATAAGCCAAAAATAAGTCTGTGTGATTTGTTTGTATTTTTGTTTTAACAACAAAAAACGACAGATTTTTTTTAAATTTTCAAAATCGATCAAGGTGGGGAGGAGGGGGGGGGGGGGAGTACTTTAAAGGTATACTTTGGACAAGTACTAAGTCAGCATTACATTATTATGAATTAAATGAAATTTTTTGGTTTTTATTGATTATCTTTTTTTCATTTAGGGGGTAGGCGAAGAACTTGTTTTGTGCCTGGATGCCGTCCACACCCAGTGACGTCAAGATTTAAAGTACAAAAAGAAGAAGAAAGTGTGGCTCAATTGACGAGACTAATAAAATCCATGTGTTCCCACAGGCATTATTAACCTTTTTGTGAAAATCCTGTTTGACAAAGAATAAAGCACTTATAGTAGTGAACAAACTCGGTCATCATATGATAAGAAATTTGATGGAAAAAGGTCAATCTATTTTTTAATAAATTATTAAAAATATTTTTTGTTTTTTTATTATTGTTTTTGTTTTTTTTGTGTATGATGATATGATGTGTATACTTTAGTCATTATTTAACCCACCAATGCAAAACGTCGTTACTTTTAAGGCAGAGAAATCAAACTGATTTTTTGTAAAATTTGTATATTGTATGAGTATAGGACGGCCTGTGTTTAAAACAATTAGAAGTCTGAATTTTCAAAAAACTATCCGATGATCCTCTTGAAAAATAAAAACTAATTTGTCAAACAATATTGTGGGGAAAGTGAAAACTGTAACTGTAAAATAGTCATAATTATCTATAGTGAAATATTTGTGAATATATAATTGTAGAACTAAATGCGTATTTAATGTATGTCAACTAATAAGTTTTAACTTTTAATGTTTTAACATTGCTTTCTATGTCTAACATTGTAATAAAATTTGCCGTTTACGAAATGGAAACTGGAAATTTTACGGTTTACGTGACGTAAACCGGAAAAATTTCCGGTTTACGAAATGGAAACTGGAAATTTTACGGTTTCCATTCCGTAAACCGGAAAAATTTCCGGTTTCCATTTGATCCGGAATTATCCCGGAATTCCGGTTTACGCAACAAATTTCCGGATCATTCCATTTCCAAAATGGAAATTTTTTTCCGGAAAAATGGAAACCATACGTTGTGCGCAGTTGGTCGAATTTTCTGTTGCCATCTATTGAACTTGACAATTTATTTGGCTGTATCTATCTTTCTTAATAACATCTATCTATTTTAAAAATTATATTTTATTAACTATCTATTTGTTAACAATAAATCATTTTATTAACTATCTATCTATTTTATTAACTATCCATCTATTTCATTAACTATCCATCTTTTTTTTGGCTTTCTTCATCTATCTTTTTTTAATAATTCTATCGATTATTTTAATAATTATCCGTCTATCTATATATTTCATAAACTCTCAATAACTATCTATATTTTATTAACTATCCATCTATTTCATTAAATATCCATCTTTTTTGGCTTTTTCTATCTTTTTTAATAACATCTATCTGTTTTAATAATTATCCGTCTATATTTCATTAACTATCTATCTATTTGTTAACAATCTATCTATTTCATTAACTATCTATCTATGTCTTCGTATATTGATCTCACTCTCTCTCTCTACGCACAGTACACTTTGTTAGGGTCCCACAGTAGAAAGGCGATTTAAAACTTTAAGAAATTTTTCAAATCGGAAACTGAAAAGACAAATCCAGGACCACCATTTAAAAATAAATGTTTTTGAGCCTTTGAATTTAGATAAAATTATTAGAAAAAAAAAGATTTATGAAAAAATAGTCCGACCTTGGTGACAGAAAATGCTGCAGTTTAAAATCAAATGAACGCTTTTTAGTTTGTTTAAAGTTTTCAAGTTAGTAGAGCGCATACAGCTAGAACATGGTTGGTTTAAAAAATCCGGCAAAAAAGAATGAATTTAACTGTTTGTCCCTGCAGTCCAGCCCGAATTTTTCCTGAGCAGGGTTTCCTTTTCATACCAATTTATGTGAAGAGATTTTGTACGACCCTCCACCCCATATAAGTTTCTGTCGCAGCCCAGGAAGTTAGCAAAATCTCGGCCGAGCCCCACAAATTGATCATCCGACCTCATTAATCATCGGTAAAATAAAGTTATTTTTTTTCTATTTATTAATATTAATCAAAAAATGAAATAAGGTCACGTAAAGAATCACTTTAAAGTTTGTAGAAGTTATATTTTTTTCTTAAAATAGCCTCCATATTATTTTTTTAGCCAATTTCGTTCATGAGGGTTTTGAATGATTGATTTGTGGCCCATGGAACATTTGAACCAAAAATTAAGATACGACGGCTAAGATGTCGGGTAAAAATTTTTGGACCTTCAATGTTCACCATTGGCATCACTGTTAAGTCCAGTTCATTTCAAGAACTGGGACGACATCTAACCAGTTAGAGCAAGCTGTAAAGTACATGTACAAATAGTACCAGGCAAAATAGAAGAGTGCGCCAAGTGAACTAGTCCATTTTAGTGAAATTCTCATGGCATGTCAGAGACTTAATGTTTACAAGGGGGGGGGGGGTACAGTGCTCAGGTGAGATTTTGCAAATTAATAAAAATTCTAAGAATTCTGTAATCTGTAAAAGTTTGCTTTTTATAGAAATTTGCATTTTTTTATCCTAAACACAAACAAAAACCAATTTAAAAACAATATTTTTATCACTGTTATTTTTGGATTGTTCTTTTTGCATATATTTTCTGTTAGTGTCAAAATTTGTTATATGGTAAGAAAATTATATGTTAAAATTACATATTTTTGAAAAACAGTTGTCCTTCTTACCCTATTCAAAACTTTGACCTAAGGAAAAATATCACTACCTGTGCATGGACAAGAATTTGTATAATTAGGAGCCCTAAAGTCTCATTTAACTGAGTCAGCTAAAATATAAGTACATCACTACCTGTGCATGGACAAGAATTTGTATAATTAGGAGCCCTAAAGTCTCATTTAACCGAGTCAGCTAAAATATAAGTACATCACTACCTGGGCATGGACAAGAATTTGTATAATTAGGAGCCCTAAAGTCTCATTTAACCGAGTCAGCTAAAATATAAGTACATCACTACCTGTGCATGGACAAGAATTTGTATAATTAGGAGCCCTAAAGTCTCATTNGAGGGTGTCCCACGAAACATAACAGTAGCAAGGCTACTTGAAGGTCGTCTTTGATTTTAGGTATAATTTACTGCTTTTATTTGTCAATCTTATTTTAAAAGTAAAATTCTAGAGACGGAAATAACAAAATACCCCTATAGTCCTGACATTTTTAAAATGTTTGTTGCCTTTTTTGCGCTTTCAATATTAGCCAAGATATGAAGAGTTTCGTTCAGATTTCAACAATTTTGGTTTTATTTAACAAAATTGAAATCTGATCAAACTCCGATAATATTTACAGCACAAAAAAGCGGATCAAATTTTGGAAATGCCAGGACTAGGAGAGTTTTATGCATAGAGAATAGAATATATATTAGAGGGGAATTTACTAGAAAAAAGTGTAAAACGGCCATTTTGTTGTACTGTTTCCATACTGCAGGCGTACTTCACATATTTATGCTATATAACCTTTTGGGCCCTGGAATATCATTTTATAGAAAATCTAAAATTATTGTTAAAAGAAAACCAAATTTTGAAATAGGCTGGTTTCATAATTGACCAATGATCATTTCACATAGACTCTATGCCTTCCACTTTACAAACGATGATTTTCCATTATAACTATAAATAAAATGATGTTTTTTATTCACCTAATTCATTATAAAGTTTATTTAACAGTTTAAAAATTCGAAATTGAAATGGATAGTCTAGGGAACATACTGTATTAATGAACTCTACTGCATATAATTTGTGAACATTTACATGATTTGTACACTTTGAACTCCCTTTCAGGCTGAAAGGGACTGAAAAAATGCATACCGAGAGATTCTTTAAATTCCCCTCTAATATAAATTTTATTCTCTATGGTTTTATGGTTATTGTTTCAAGAATCATGTATATTAAAGTATATTTACGACTGAATGTCACAAATAAATTCCAAGATTAAAGACAACTTTCAAGTCGTCTTGCTATTGTCAAGTTTCGTGGGACACCCTGTAGGAATCTCAAATTTTCTGATTTTTCTAACTAGCACATGCCTCTCAACTTAAAGTTTTTATACATGCTCCTTCATACTGCCTAAGTGGCTTATTTTAACTAAACCAAACTAAATCTATAATAAGACCTACTTTCCGTCATTGGATTTCAACATTTTATAGCTCTTTGGAAAGCCTATAGCAAAAGCAAGCAGATTGCACAAATTTTGCAAAGAATTATTTTGCACAGATTTTTGCACAGACGCCTTTAAAAGGAATTTGCACAATTTCATTTTTTCTTAAATACACATTTAGGTTTTACAAAGTTAAGTCGTTGGGTAAAGGCATTTCAAAAATATGTAATTTGTTGCAATTTTTACATTTTTTGCTTAATAACTAGATTTCGCAATAAATATTTTGATTTTGTAAATTTGCCAAACTATTTTCAGATTATTGAGGTAGAGACCAAGGTCTTTCAAAAACGTATCAAATTTTATAGATTTGTATCACAATATGAAAATAAAGGGGGGGGGGGTCGTCAATTTGACCCCTTTCCCAGGCAGCCGTAAAACAGACGTCAGGTTAAATAGGATTAAAACGCGCGGTCCGTTGTGAATGCCACGTATTCTTCTTTAATATTTACCTGGAACTGTTGCTTATATTTCCGTCCCAGTCAAGGTTGGACTCTTTTATTATAATTGAGGTTAGGATGGAACCGTAATCTTCTTTGCTCAGGGTCTAAATTATGTATATTTATTTATACTTATAGTTTAGCCAAGATTGTTAGTGTGGTTTGAGAACCAACGGTTCACTGATTGAACAATGTCACCGTAAGTCGAACCGTCTTTTTTTTCAATTCAATTTACAAATCTCTGTCATTTATTGTGTGCATTAATCAAAGAATGACTATAAAATGGACATTTAAACAATTTTTCTAACCTAGCTAAGAACCTTCCCGTGGTTTTAACGATTTCCCCGATTAAAATTTGATGACATCGGTCATGGAGTTAAATGAGTTATGATCGGACATACAGACAAGCAGACATTCAAACAGAGATTGCTACTCAATATTTGATTATGTTGATTTAGCTCTACACAGGGTTAACGGCAAGGTTGAGATTTTAATGACCTTCATATTTTAATTCCAACTTTAAAATTCCATATCCATTTTTTTCTTATGCATAAAATAAATATATATACAAGGAAATTCAATTAACTTCAAAGACTGCACATCATTAAAACATTGTAATTTAATTAACCAACTAACAATGTATAGAATTGTCACAAAATGCCAAATTTCCGAGTTAATCTTAATTACAGAAAACGCACTGTATTTCTGTCTTCTCTACCTAAGGTGTAAGCCAGGTCTATTCAACGCTAGATTTAACTATTTATTAAAACATAAGGTTACAGGTCAAATTGGGTTACGAGATATGCATAAAATGATGATAATAGTTATTAGCAGGAATATAGATATCAGGTTTCCCTGATATAGTACTCGGGGATATTTATTACAAGATATAACTTTTAAGATAGTTTGTTTACTTGCATTATATTTAAATTAAGCTGATGTTCCTAATATACAATAAAATTAGAACTTACCACAGGAGAGTTTAAAGAAATTGATCCTCGAAATCTGAAGTCGGCCCGACCTTCAAAAATAGTTAAAATTAAATTTTTTAAATATTATTATTTTTTATAGATTTCTGACCTATGAGTTTAGGCTTCATGTCTGCTAGCTGAAGAATAGGAACCTGAGAAATCCCTTTCTTATCCTGACCCAGGGATCCCAGTGCTCCAATACTACCCAGAGTATCTTGAAAGGTTCCCAGGGATAAGCGTTTGTTCTTATGTGGAGTCGTGTTCTGCTTCCCACTTGGAGCTGAATACTTTGGAGATCTAGGATCAGGGGATGGGGATCTTGATCTGAATAAACAAAATATTATATTTAGAATTACTATTTAAATTGAAAATTTTCTCTTTGTATACATAGTAAACTAAAAACAAAAAAAGTTCGCGGATTTTTAAAAAAAATGTCGTGGATTTTCAAAATTCAATGAAAATAAAATTTTGTTGAGCTAATTTTTGAAATTTTTATCCTCCATAAACCTTTACTGGGGTCATGCGAGGCAGAGGTCCCATACAATATTTGGGCCGGATCGGTTAAGCCGCTTTGACGTTTATTTGATACAAACAGATAGACAGACAGACAATCAAAGTATATAAATAGATACCACTCCAAACTCAGTGAAAGGATCAAGCTATGTTATGCTAAATTATTGGTTCAACTTTGCGACCTCATAACTCTCGTAAATCTTAATTAATTTTATGCAAAGTACGCATTATTTTTTTAGACCGGCCGGGTACACTTTTAAGAGTCGCAATGCCTTGGCCTTTTGTAGCTCTAGTCATGTACATTTCAGTGTATAAAACATGCATATTTTTAGCGTTAGTTTAAAAGAAGTAATTGGACCCATGACAGGTTTAAGGGTGGGAGTCGAGTACACAATTTTGTTCACTGAGTGTGTAGGTTAGATTTTCTATTGATGAAGTTAGGTGTAAAACAGATTTTAAATAACAATAAAATAGACTTTAGTTTAGTTTGCAACTCTTTGATTTACTTTAACAATGTTGGTCAAATAAGGAAAAAGATTGATTTTGTAATTGTTCTTGAAAACTTTATCGATATCATTATTTACTTTTCTAGTTTTTATTGACCCAGTTTTATTAACTTCATTGATTTTATTAAAAATGTAATTCATAATTTCTATTTATCTGACCTACTGCTGAGTTCTAGTATATCGGAGAGGATACAGGACACGGTTGAAGGTTTCTCCGTCCTACTCAAGGGTTCTCCGTGTACCCGGAGCTCCCAGGTTCCGGCTGCTGATACCCTTTCCAGGTTCACAGTATACAGGGCTTCTAAAGGATCATTTTAAAACCAAAGTTTGTTAATAATTAAATATTCCCTCTCCATAAATGTGTAAAAGTAAAAAATTTAAATTTGAGAAGCTAGAATAGAATGCAGGACACAAAAACAATACATTTTATTTTAGACATTTTTTTACACTGCTATGACCTCAGAGAGGAAACGTAAACCTGAGGAAAATGCTACTGTATCCTGATAAAAACAAAATTAAAGCAAGTCATGAATGATCCACTTTAGGTATAACAAACGTAAATATTTTTTTACAACTAGCTCAGAAAAATCTTTTCGCCAAAATAAAAACTTTTAAAGAAATTGAAATTTAACCAAAATGACTGATAATGAATGTGAAAATTCTAAAACAGAGGCTCATAACATACAAAAAACACTTTAAAAGGAAAGCATAAAAAATGAGACAAAAACCACAGCTTTCTGAACAAAGTACATTTAAAAAAACACTAATGATGAAATCTGATTATATCATAAATTTATTGTATATTTTAATAGTATCAACCAAAATTGTAAATAAGATAAAATATTAAGTAGTTAGCTGACTCGGTTCGACAACTTAGATAAAAAAATAGAAAAATTATCGAATTAAAGTTCACTGTGAACTAAACGGGAGGAGAATGTAAAATTAGCTGATACAATTTTGTGAGCTCCAATAGCTCCTCTAATTAGTAAAATTAGCTGATACAATTTTGTGAGCTCTAATAGCTCCTCTAGTTAGTAAAATTAGCTGATACAATTTTGTGAGCTCCAATAGCTCCTCTAATTAGTAAAATTAGCTGATACAATTTTGTGAGCTCNTTATTATTATTATTATTATTATTATTATTATTATTATTATTATTATTATTATTATTATTATTATTATTATTATTATTATTATTATTATTATTATTATTATTATTATTATTATTATTATTATTATTATTATTATTATTATTATTATTATTATTATTATTATTATTATTATTATTATTATTATTATTATTATTATTATTATTATTATTATTATTATTATTATTATTATTATTATTATTATTATTATTATTATTATTATTATTATTATTATTATTATTATTATTATTATTATTATTATTATTATTATTATTATTATTATTATTATTATTATTATTATTATTATTATTATTATTATTATTATTATTATTATTATTATTATTATTATTATTATTATTATTATTATTATTATTATTATTATTATTATTATTATTATTATTATTATTATTATTATTATTATTATTATTATTATTATTATTATTATTATTATTATTATCATTATTATTATTATTATTATTATTATTATTATTATTATTATTATTATTATTATTATTATTATTATTATTATTATTATTATTATTGGAAATCTTTTAAGAAAACATTTTGTATGTTTGTCAAAATAATTATTACTATTATTATTATTCTCATTATTATTCTCTTAAATTATCTATACCTGTAAGATATAAATGGTTTGATTTCTGGTTTCCGAAGCTGATAGTTAATCCTGATGTATTTGTTGTATTCAGATCTAGAACCCGCATTATTTGAGTATTATTCGGGATCTCACTGAACAAAACCATTGGTTTTCAAAATTTAGATTTTCGTTGTATTGCAGATAAAAATCTCAAAGTTTTCTACAATACAAATAAATATATTCTCTTCTGATTAATGAAAGATGATAATATATGAAAACAAAAGCTATTTGGAAAAATAAGAAAAGGAAAAATCAAAACTCTGGAATTTTTAGTTTTAAAAATAAGAACCGTAACAAAGATTCTGAGATTAATTTTAATCATTTTTTTGAAAATGACATAAATGTTACTTTACGGCACTGTACAGTAGTGTTGTGTACTGTAATGTACGTTAATGTAACTTAATACAATGTAATGTAACGTAACGTAATGTAATGTAATGTAATGTAATGTAATGTAATGTAATGTAATGTAATGTAATGTAATGTAATGTAATGTAATGTAATGTAATGTAATGTAATAATATTAATATTATTAATATAAAACCTGAGCCTAAGTTGTGTAGAACTCACTAGCTTATCTTTATTGGTCTTCCTGCTCAACTTATAAACCTCTATCCTAGAAATAATACTATTTTTTAGAACAAAACAAATGTTCATAAAAACTAAAGCATAATATTTGTTTTCATCCTTTTTCATGCTTGTTACCCAACAATTAATTTATTTCCCAAATTCAGCAAAAACAAAATTAAACATGTTTCCGCTCCGTGCAAACATGCCTATCCTTTGAATAAACAAACGTTGTTTAAAAAGAGGGGGAAAGAATAATTTTTCAGAAAAATATACACCCCTCAGCATAAATTTGGTTATTTTGGCCCAGGTTCTAACTTTAAAACAAAAGACATTTTAGAACAAAAATGTTCAATTAAACTAAAACTTACACTTTAATCCATGTGCCACATCAAGGCCTTTTATTATACATTAATAAACTTTTTGTAGCCCCGTATCTGAGTTTATATTATATTTAAAGCTGCGAAGTACACATGATACCAATTTAAACAAATACTTTATCAAACCTTCTAAGTTAAACTATGGTGGTAGGCGAGTATATCAATATAATTAAAACGACTTCCGGTTTAAATTTAAATTTTTATCAAGCTTTTAAACTGCATGGATACACAATTAAACATGGAAACAAAGCTGTCAATTAAAAAGCTTCTATTTAATTACTTGTAATTTTGTAAACTTGTGACACGAAAAAAGCTTTTTCACAATTAAAACAAGAATAAAAATGTCGTCTTATATTGATATAATCACCAACCACTGTAGTATAACTATAATTTTTGTATAATCCTATTTTATGTTTGTGTATGATAATGCATGTTTTAGTTAATACAAGTGAACGCAAAGTTCTAGCCACAAACTCTGATTTGTCAACCTGTATATCGTTGCAACCCGAAGTTTCAGAACTTTGACATTTTAAATTATGAATTAAGTTCTCTTCAAGCGACTGAAAAATGCGAGGAATAAAGGGTTCGGTTCTGGATCGGCTTAGNTGAATACTTGAAAATGCGTCGTCAGTCTCTTTCTCAAACATAGTAAAACATTGTTTGATATAATGCATAATGCATAAAGTTTAGACTGATAAGTGAAGTTTTGACACTAGGTTTAGAATTTCATATTGTTAATTAGATACTAGAATAACATCAATCATAGTATACTGATAAATTATCAAATGTCAGAATGTAGAAAAAGAAAGTTATTCAAAAGCTTTTTTTTATTTTAAAAGATTTAATACTGTCTAGTAATTATGTAAACAAAACGAAACGAATTTTTACCACAAACTCTAATACCAGTGTCTTTGCAACCCAATGTCGTAGACCTTAGATATTTAAAACAAAAAATTCTGTTAGATCAAATAATGTATTCTTGAAATATCAAACATATACACCATCAGGTTGCAAAGATATAGAGATCAGAAAATTTGAGTTGTGGCTCTTTGTCCTCTATGAACCCAGAAAATTAGCAAACAAATATTTGTAAATTTTTCCATATTTTTCAATTAAATTAAATTAAAATTTGAAAGTTTCCGACCTGAGTAAAGGATTTGGTATTCCAGGGGTTAAAAGGGAACCCAGAGATGAAAATACAATGTTCCCGTCATTTTCCTGAATAATAAAAAGAGATTATTTCGATATTAAAGGGAGTGTTCGCTAAAAATGAAAAGGGGTTTAGGCGTACGTCGAAAAATATTCAATTGTGATTGCTACTAATCTTACTTCTATCTGTTGCGTATTTAAAAACGACTCATACCGAAGAACGTAGCGTCCATACAAATTCAGAAAGTAGCACTATTCGTAAAAAAAAAACAATTTACTTCCAAAAAAATTATTCAGATATTACAACCTATAATCAAACATTTACTGACACTGGTATTTATAATTTTTAAACGTATATTTTGATTGTATTTCTTTAATTGCCCAAAACATGGAAAATGCTAATTTTAAGAATAAATCATACAGTTTTTACAACAATTTGAGGCAAGACTTTACAAAAAGGATTTATTTTTGCAAAATGGAAATAAATTCAGATTTTTCTTTTCACAAATGAAAACTAGATTCTGGTTTCCGAAGCTGATAGTTAATCCTGATGTATTTGTTGTATTCAGATCTAGAACCCGCATTATTTGAGTATTATTCGGGATCTCACTGAAAAACAAATATTTAATCAAGATGAGATAAGGATGGTTTTAGAAATAATGGACATACCGACAAGAAAAATGACCAACCTGATAATTTGTTTCTAGAAAATATGAAGGAGAATTGAAGAAATAAACTCGAGCTTTCAAATACTTCTTCAAGAACTTATCGTTCTCACAGTGGACCTGGAGAGAGGAAACCTGAAGCTTTGGAGCATCCTTGATCAGTTCTCTGCTCCCTGTCTCCAACCTGGTCCAATCCTCCGGATTAAGAGGATAGTTGTACTCCAGGTACTCAAGGTAACTGCTCAGGGTTTCCTCGTTCAAACTTTCAACCTTTGCAAACATAAATAAATTCTTTTCAAAATCCTATTTAAAGAAAATGTCGATGCATTTTTAATTGACCCTCCGCTTATGGGTATGTCAGGTTTACAACTCCAACCTTAAAAATATCCTCATATTTCCATCTGCAAATTGATGAATTTCAATTAAAGGTTCCATGCAAAAATAACTTGTGAAAACATTGTCAGATTTTAACATATTTACAATTTTACCAATAGAAAAACAACAATATCTTCTAAATTGTTTCTCAGAAAAATGTTTATAGTGCGCAACGTTGATGAATCTGAAAAGTCTCATTAAAAACAAATTAAAAGCTGCAACTTATCGTAACTTTTACTTATTCTTTTTACTTATTTTTGCAATATTTCGTTTCTTTGGCTTTAAAACTTTGGGTTTAAACTTTAAATCTTTTCATTTCTAGACATCTACAGATAAGATTAACCCTGATATCTAGGATGTATAAAACCCTTACATCTAGGATGTATTAAACCCTGATATCTAGTATGTATTAATCCCTGATTTCTAGGATGTATTAAACCTTGATATCCAGGATATATTGAACCCTGATATCTAGAATGTTTTAAATCCTGATATCTAGGATATTGAACCCTAATATCTAGAATGTATTAAACCCTGATATCTAGGATGTATTAAACCCTGATATCTAGGATGTATTGAACCCTGATATATAAGATGTATTGAACCCTGATATCTAGGATGTATTAAACCCTGATATCTAGGATGTATTAAACTCTGATATCTAGGATGTATTGAACCCTGATATCTAGGATGTATTGAACCCTAATATACAGGATGTATTGAACCCTGATATCTAGAATGTATTGAACCTGATATCAATGATGTATGAAACCCTGATATCCAGGATATATTAAACCCTTATATCTAGGATGTATTAAACCCTGATATCTAGGATATTGAACCCTAATATCTAGGATGTATTAAACTCTGATATCTAGGATGTATTAAACCCTGATATCTAGGATGTATTTAGCCCTGATATCCAGGATGTAATAAACCCTGATATTTAGGATGTATTTAACCCTGATATCAAGGATGTATTAAACCCTAATATCTAGGATGTATTAAACCCTGATATCTAGGATGTATTAAACCCTGATATCTGTGATGTATTGAACCCTAATATCTAGGATGTATTGAACCCTGATATCGAGGATGTATTAAACCCTGATATCGAGGATGAATTAAACCCTAATATCTAGGATGAATTAAACCCTGATATCTGGAATGTATTGAACCCTAATATCTTGCATATATTAAGCTCTGATATCTAGGATGTATTAAACCCTGATATCTAGGGTGTATTAAACCCTGATATCTAGGGTGTATTAAACCCTTATATCTGGGATGTATTAAACCTTTCTATCTAGGATGTATTAAACCCTGATATCTAGGATGTATTAAACCCTGATATCTAGGATGTATTAAATCCTGATATCCAGGATGTATTAAACCTTGATATCAAGGATGAATTTAACCCTGATATCTAACATTAAAGTTTACCTGTGTAAGTATTGAGTTGTTAAGAGCGAACTGAATAGATTTCAATGTTTCCAAGTTAAGTTCTGGAAGATCAACTTTTTCCTCTTCTTTCTCTTCATTCGAATCCTAGAGGAAGAGAGTTTTTAAATACCAAGAGTAAATTATTCTAATTTAGTTTATTAAATAGTTAATGAATTAATTGTCAATTTAGGTGAACACTGAACATGAACTGAAAGCTTAAAAAATATAAAATCTATTCAAGCAAAGGATCATATTATATTTTGTTACACTAATATTTTTCATATTAAAAACATACATCAAAGTAAAGGTTTTCGACTTGGAAGTGGAATTATAATAAGAGTTGTAGTAGAAAAACCTTTTCAGTTTTGTTTTACTAACCTCAATACTAGAACTATCTGCAGGTTGCAAATTGAGCCCCAAAAAATCACTCCGTAGTTGAGCAAGACCCTGAATGCCCGCACATTATATAAAGCCATTTCCTAGCCTACTGATATCTAACAAAAAATGTCCACCCCCCACCACCCGTCCTCCACTCCCAACACATAATTTTAAATTACTAAAAATATTGTAACATTTATCTACATTGCTTAGAGGACATGCACATGTTTATCCAGACTCACTAATTATAAACCACGTAAAAGAATTCACTATAATGAGAATGTACATAACACAATGAGGACGGTACATTGAGTTATGAGGAGGCCCAAAAGTATGACGTATTTATTCCATATATATATAAAATTGTAATGTCTGTTTGTTTGTGTGTCCTATCATAAATCAGGAACCCCTCGACCGATTTGCCTCAAATTTAGATTGGCAACCCAGTAGACCCAAGGGAACAAGGACTGCTGAGCCCCCCGTTCAAATTCCTGACTACGCGCCTGAAAACTTAGTTCCAAAGCTAGTTTACACATAAATTACAACTTTACATTAAAGGAAAATTAAGGATAAATTCTTGTTTTATATTCCCCCCCCCCCATTTCCTTGATAAAATTGGATTACACAACTTATTTATGTATATCCTGTATACGAGGCGTTTTCTTTATATATTTCCTTAAGTTTAGATAGCTCAACTCCCATAGAAAACCTATATCCAGATACAGATTTTAGAATAAATATACAAACCAAATTAAGGACATTTTATAAGAATAACTTTCATAAACCGACATTTTATTCATACTTCATCGGACATTTCGTATTTATGAAATATCAAAGATAAGACATTTCATAGATAGGACATTTCATAGGTAGGAAATTGCATATATAAAACATTTCATACGGTGGTAGGCGATCATGTCAATACAATGAAGACGATTTTCGATTTCAATTTTGATTTATGTCAACATTGATACACAAAAACATGAAAACAAAGAGGAACTGTCAATAAAAAAGATTCTCTTCAACTACTTGTAAACTTGTAAATCGAAATTTATGAAATTTCTTTCAAAGAGAGAACCGTTTAAAAGGGAGGTTTGGTGCGGTGGGGAGGGGGTGGTTGAAATGTATTTTCATTTTAAATGCGATGAGCTGGGTACATTTGAAATGCGATGAGCTATGTACATTTTCAAGTTGTTTTTCAAAACATTTTTTTTCAAACGAGCGAAAATTTAGATTCAAGTTTAGGTTCAATGTGTAGGAATTATATAATTGTTTCGACTGCAAATTTATATGGTTTATAAATCAAAGATAGAAAACAAAAAAGCAAATTTCAGGTGTGCCATCTTTATCTTTATTTTTGTTACAATAGGAACTGCAGAAAGCGGAGGAAATGTTTTTGCAACTTATAATTTTAAAATGTTCCTGATACTTTTCCAAAAAATATCGTAATTGTAACATTAAAATCATTTAATACCTAAAAAATCCGACGATCGAACTCCACTTTTTTCTATTTCTCATTGTATGAAAAATTTATAACTATTGTTATTATTACCATGAATAACATTACGTTGTTTATTCACAACATTGTTGCCTCACGCCTGCAGAGTCGAGACGCTTGACTAAATTTCAAGTAAAAAACACGAACATTTTTCATGGGCCAGCTATTGTCTTATTTAAGAATAAAATGTCGTCTTGAGATTAAAATGTTATTTCTTCTATAAATTGCCATTATTTTCGACTAAAGTTATTGCGAAGTATTTTAGCACTTTACTAAAAGAAAAGGCTTTATAAGACAACATTTTTGGAAATAATATAAATCTAAATAAATTGTATTTGCTATTAACTCTTTTATAAATTAAAGCTTAAAGAGATTAGTAAGAATCTTCTTTATAGAGAGATAAATTTCTAAATTGTGACGGAAGCGGAAGATTAAATTGATTTTATTTGTTTAAATCTGTTTCTGTGACCTCTTCGTGGGAACCGGTTTTAGAGTCTCTGATTGTCGTCTTTTATCAACATCTAGAACAATAATAAAAATTATGCTAAAAATAAACGGTACAAAAAGCAATTTGTGAATTTTAATAACTTTATTATAACACTTTTTATAAAACAAATTAGGATTTTATCTGATTGGACCCTTTTTTGCGTAAAAATCCATGAACGTAGATTTGAGTGATAAAATAAATCTGTATAAAAAGGAAAAGATTCCTCTTCACATATTTTGGTATTCAAATCCTCGTATGCTTGCATCCTGGTTCGTATTTACTATGGATTCTGAGAGATCAATTTGTCAAAGTTTGAAATATCAAAGGTTTCTATAACGTTTTATCTAAAGATATTTGGATGAGAAAATTCGAGTGCTCATTTCTTTCAAGAAAACAATAAACACTTTTTTGCGCATTTTTTGCGTAAGCTGGAGCGTACAGCGTAAACTACCTGCGCCTAGCAACTGGTTGTTTGTATCTTGAACCCGGCGGGTCTCTTCTCTTTCCCTCATATTTACAGGGGGGTAATTCATTTCTGAAAAAAATACATTTTTTTAGAAATATAAAAAAAATTTAATTGAAATTTTCATGAAAAATGAAATTTTTTGTATGAAGTTTTTATAATTACCCTTGAAAACTACGAGCGCTTCGGTATATTTTATAATGTGAAACTATTTTTCTGAAAAATATTAGTTAGGAAAGCTACATGTCATGCGCAGTGCTTATTGTCATATTGATGCATATATTCTTAAAAATGTAAACGTTGGTTAGCGTACATTATCACTCTATACACTATAACCTCGTTGGGTACAGGGTTATAAAAAGTTTATGTGACACATTTGTGCAAACGAAAGAATGAGGTCATTCAAAATATAAGAGACACATATTCATAAAAAATAATAGACGTGAGAATGAAATCATGCCATTTGTGTGTGTCACATGATCTTTAAATAGTAGTAGGTCTGAGATCATATACTTAATATATGCGACACATGATATCATAAAAAGATTTCAGATATGATATCATAACCATGCATATTGAATAAGCTAAGAAAGAAAGCTTCGCATAATTTACCAATTTCTTAGTCCGTTGTTCTGTTTCAATTCTCTGAGTTTACAATTTGCTGACTTGATATTTATTAAAATCTGTCTGATAAAATAAATCTATGCAATTTTGTTAATCTTTTAAATTGTACAGTTAAACCCTAAATAAGCCATACATCGAAAGAATTCATCAAATGTCGTATTTTTCACTTTCTGATAATGGAATGTTGCAGATATTTAGTTTTTTAATTAAATGATAATATGGAGCTCTTTAAAATTGTTCCAGCATATTTATTCATTTTCGCAAACACTGAGATTTACGTAAAATAGTATCAAAGCCATTGAAAAATTGTCAAGACGACATTTGATAAATTCTTGCGATGTATGGCTCATTTAGGATTTAACTGTATAAATTGAAAAGCATTTGTTTAAGTAAAAACAAAAAAAAATTAATAATTAATTAATCAATCTTTCCTTTATCTTCTTTCTCTCTTTTTTCCCTTTTTCTTTTTTCTCCATTATTCTCCCACCTTTCCTTCTTTTCTCTTCACATACCTTCTTCATTCTTCCATTCTTAACCCTCCTTCCCAATCTTTCACCCTCCTTCCCCCTTTTCCATCTCCCGCCTTCCTTCTCCCTTGCTTTCCCTCCTTCCTCCGCTCTCCCTCATTCGTTTCTTTTTTCCTTAATATTTATTTATTAACATATACTGTGTGTATTGTTAATATATGTGTGTACTGTATACTATATACATACAGAAATGTGACCAAGAATAGATTAAATTAGATTTGACTTGACACCAATTGAATGTTTTCAAATTAATCAACACCATGCATATTATTTCTTCTTATTAAAGAGAGTGTTTGCGAAAAAATTAGGGAGGGTAGATGTAAAAAGAGGAAAAATTGAATTATTTTCTTTTTTTCTATCTGATGTTTAGATTTTATCCACTACCAGAATCCTTTCATTTATTTGGACATTGGAGTAAGTCAGTGCTAACTTGTTACAGAAACATCGGATTAAAATAGAATTCAAAGTATACTTTTGGTATGGTACAGGGTGTCCCACGAAACATGACAGTTGGTAAAGAGTTTTGAATGTCGTCTTCCATTCACCGTATTAGATATTAAAGGCTGTTTGATGTTAATTTCGTTTAAAAAGTCTTTTGCTCAAGTATATTTTACTATAATATGACTCCGTTATAATATTTTTATTAGTATCTTTGGTATTAAACAACTTAGCAAATTATGGAGGAAGATTTTCTAAACTATTTACCAACAGTCATGTTTCGCGGGACACCTTGTATATCCCCTTACAGTTTTTCACCTGCACTCATTTAGCTGGAAGAGTTTGATATTCAAAAATAGAATAGAAAAATTTGTTTTACAAGGAAAAAATATTATCATCACTTTTTCCTTTATGATTCAGGAACTTTTTTCAAATTTTTTTTTTGAAATTTTCATTGAGCAAACTGCAATTGCAAGGAATTGTTTGCTAAAGTCGACTTACTTTGTTTGTTTTCCAAATAACTTGTTTTCTAAGTTTTCCAACGTACATAAAAGTACTACTGTAAGTGTAAATTCAAGTGACCCTCCATGCAAAGATGGCAATGTCCGATTCACAATGGTTCCCTTTAAGCAAATTATGACTAAAGGTTTAATCTAGAATTAGCTGTCTGTCCACACTCCAAACCTCCACAAATACACAGCTTTATCCTAACTTCCAAAACATTCTAGAATATTCCTGAACTCTCGCTTACAGACGGAAATAAGATGGATAAACATTGAACCAGTGCTTAGGATCCATTTAATTTTGATGCGGATCCGGATCCGTGGATCAGCATATTCTTGCGGATCCGGATCCGGATCCAGGAAGCCAAAATCTTGCGGATCCAACGGATCCGGATCCTAAGCACTGCATTGAACATTCCCACTCTCAGAGGCGGTCAGATGCGTATTCAGGGGTGGGGCTTGGGGGCTAAGCCCATCCCAGACCAGTGAAATTTCAGGGGTGTTTCAGGCCCAACGGGTGCTGACCCCCCCCCCCCTGTGAAGAAAGAAATGTAAGCCCCCCCTAAAAAATTCCTGAATACTCCCCTGGAGATGGTTAAATTGAAAATTTACAGGGTAAAAACAGGGAGAACTAGAGAAAATTACATTATTTATAAACAGAAACAAAATATCCAGTTTAGCCTTTGTTTCTTTGCAACAGTGGAGATCAAATAAACGGAAATTTTCGCAAATTGTTTCTTGGGAAAGTTTAAGAAAGTTTACAAAGAAAACATTTGTTAAAAAAATATTCGCAATGTTTTATCATTCTATCACTGTTGTCAGTCCAGGGGCGTATTCGAGAATTGTCCAGGGCTTAATTGTTTTTCTTGCCAGGGGGAGGGGGTGGGGGGGGCTCAAGATCCAATTGGGCCCGAAAACTCTCTGAAAACCATAGAGTTCCCTGGTCTACGGACGAGGGGACTGAGCCCCAATACTATTTTGGTTTCTTTGCAAATGTTACTTGCGCATTTATTTCTTTTATTGCTTCAGAAACAGGCAAGAAAATATCAGAATTAAACATCTTGAAAACCGACGTTATCTTCTACATTACTGATCAAGGTTTTAAGGAATCTGACATGCTTTTTAATTGGAAGGTAGCACTTATGTCTGATGACAGACAATTTAAAAAGTCGGTAACAACTAAATATAATATTGAAAACACATGCCAAGATGTTTCACAAGTTAGTAAAATCTAATATACTAATAACGTAAAAAAGCGTATTATTACGGAGTGGGAAACAAACTTATCAAACATTAATAAAAACATATTTTTTAGTTAAAATAACTTTAAGTAATGCTTTGTAATATTCTATATTATTTGCGTAGATTGCATAGATTGCGTAGTCTTCACTGTATCCTGTATCCTGTACCACCCAACATCACACTGCTCAAAACTGTACACTACAATGTGGGGCTGGTAACTAAACTCCTGTATGGTAAACCCGGCGCTTCTATCCAGTTCCTGTTCACAATCAGACCTGGAGTAGGACTAAGGCAGTGTGACGTCACTTTATATATCCTAGACATGTATAGGTTTGATACAGAGTGTCCAAGAGATTGGAATTTAGAGATACAATTAATTTTTAATCAATAATAAATACCAACGAGAGTTAAAAACGGCTGTATATGTCTCATTGTTTTTTTGTCTTTCAAAAATTTGAGGTTTCATATTTCTGTTTGCAGACATTTATCGAATCATCAGAAAGAAACTTAACACCAACCCTATAGTTTAATTGGTTAAATGTTGTTAAGATTGTAATACTAGAATATTTATGGATATCGTGATGATAAAACAGTTTGTCACTCATTTGATTTCCATGTATAGGATTATCCACAAAGGATGAGACTGTAAAGACGACCTAAAAATCTTAAAATATGACGATCCCAAAGTTGAAATAACTCTTCTGTCCGAAATATAGCCTTTTAACAATATACTTACAATATACTATGATTTAGCAAAGCAAGAAAAAAGTTTACAGTTTAAATTCCATATCCGTACAATCGTCTCTACATTGTCATCCAATGATCCAGTAAAAACTTAATAACTGGAGTAAAGAACATAAAACCAAACAGTATTTATGTTTAACAAATGAAAACAGTGACTTGGAATACATTTAATTGATTATAATCTGTAAATATTACTCTATAGGCCTCATTTTCTCCATGAATGATTACTCAATTTTCTTTAGGTCAAACAGAAAGTTTTAGACATGAGGTTTTTTTTGGATTGAATCTCTCTGGCTAAGTTTTAGGTTTCTAGGCTTTACCGAAGATTTTCACTAACGTTTTTTACCTTAGCCGCAGAATTTATTTTCAGGTAAAATGCTGTTATTGGTAGCGAAGTGTATAAAAGCTATTCAAGCTATGGTCTGAAACTGATATTTTTGAAGATGGATATAAAAATATATGTTGCTTTTTTACCTTAGCTGAAATCCTTTTTTCCTAGGAAGGGGGGGGGGAGTGCGTCGGGGTGCCTATGCCATCTAGTCTTTAGATTCGGACTCCCCGGCCCCACCCTTTATAGGGTTAAGTCTGTAGTTTCTTCAGTGGATAAGGAATTCAACTCCTAAATTTTCCTATACTTAGCAGGAATTTAACACAAATGCTGTGCATGCCCTGGTCGCAAAAAGAGAATTAGTGAGACCATGCACTTAGGGTTAGTAAATATAGAACATTATAATTTCAAACAATGAAATTATATTAATATAAATATCTAATATTTTTGCTTTCGTTGAATGGGATTGGAGAAAATATTTGGAGAATATCTCTTCTCTCTCTCTTTTTGAAAACCAAGGGACGCTCTGAGGTTTGAATAGTTCTCATAGAACCATTGAACAAATAGGAGATCAGATCCATCCCAGTATACTTTATTACACATTATTCAGAGGAGACCAGATCCATCCCTGGATACTTTAGTAAACATTATTCAGAGGAGATCAGATCCATCCTAGGATAGTTTATTACACATTATTCAGAGGAGATAAGATCCATCCTTGGATACTTTAGTAAACCTTATTCAGAGGAGATCAGATCCATCCCAGGATACTTTAGTAAACCTTATTCAGAGGAGATCAGATCCATCGTAGGATACTTCAGTAAACCATATTCAGAGAAGATCAGATCCATCCCAGGATACTTCAGTAAACCTTATTCAGAGGAGATCAGATCCATCCCACGATACTTCAGTAAACCTTATTCGGAGGAGATCAGATCCGTCCTAGGATACTTTAGTAAACCTTATTCGGAGGAGATCAGATCCATCCTAGGTTACTTCAGTAAACCTTATTCGGAGGAGATCAGATCCATCCTAGGATACTTCAGTAAACCTTATTCAGAGGAGATCAGATCCATCCCAGGATACTGCAGTAAACCTTATTCAGAGGAGATCAGATCCATCCTAGGATACTTCAGTAAACCTTATTCAGAGGAGATCAGATGCATCCCAGGATACTGCAGTAAACCTTATTCAGAAAGGATCAGATCCATCCTAGGCTACTTCAGTAAACCTTATTCAGAGGAGATCAGATCCATCCCAGGATACTTCAGTAAATTTTATTCAGAGGAGATCAGATCCATCCCAGGATACTGCAGTAAACCTGATTCAGAGGAGAGGATGGCTTTAAGAAGAAGTAAAAAACCAACATGGGTTGAGGAATGGTTTATATTCGAATGCGATTCAAAAGGAAAGTACATGATCTAGTTTTATTGTACAGTTTGTTGTATTACTACATAGTTGTATTGGTTTTAAAATAACTTACTTACAACATACAAAAGGTAGAACATACAAAAGGTAAAACATACAAAAGGTAGAACATAAAAAAGGTAGAATCACAAAAGGTAGTACATACAAAAGGTAGAACATACAAGATGTAGAACATACAGAAGGTAGAACATACAAAAGGTAGAACATAGAAAAGGTAGTACATAAAAAAGGTAGAATCACAAAAGGTATAATCATAAAAGGTAGAATCAGAAAAGGTAAAGCTACAGAAGGTAGAACGATCATTCTACCTTTCAACCGTTCAACCTTTTGTATGAAATACCTCTGCAGTACTTTGTAAATTCAACAAATAACTTTAAAACTCTTCAGAATAAAAATGCTCGATGATTCTCTGCTGAAAGGTGGTTTTATTGTTATTCTTGATATGTCACTGGCTCTAGTTAGTGTTATCGCTAACCTAGTGATCATAACATCAATCAGGTGACCAGAGCTGGGAAACTTAGAATACGTCGTTGATCCCGATCGCCTAATCTGAATATCCAAAGTGAACACATTTAATTTTCTGCTTAATTCGCTCTTTTTCTCTGCTTTAAGACATCTCAACCAGATTCCAACTAATGAGAGTTCTCTTATTGAATGGCGGGAAAAATTTTAAATTTCCCAGCTTCTGATTGGCTGTTCAGGTTTATGAATACGCCACTCTATTCGTTGAAATTAATAAAAAGAGAAGATCAAGCATTAAACTCAATATCTACAATTTAAAAGTTTACATTGAACTAATTGGGGGGGGGGGGGGGTAGTTCCAAAAGTTGTTCTCTAGGAAATTACCCATGGTATCCTAGTGTATATATATAATTAAACCTATTACTAGAGAGTGGGATGGATTGGTGAATATAACTTACAGTATCCTGGTCGCAAACCTTTGCTTTTCAAACCTCGTCAGCGCTGTACTCGTCAAGGTCTGAATTTTCATGTTTTTTTACTCACCCCTCTCAACCCCAATAAAATAAGAATTAAAGGAAAATATATTGGTTGGGTGAGAAAATATATTGGTTGGATGAGAAAATATATTGGTTGGATGAGAAAATATATTGGTTGGATGAGAAAATATATTGGTTGGATGAGAAAATATATTGGTTGGATGAGAAAAAGGAAAAGAAAATGAAGATAGAAAGTAAAAATAAAACTCCCAATGGAATAGCTAGGTTTAAATGCTGATCTTGAAATTTAAAATAAGATTAATTTCTAACATTTTCTAGTTTTTACTTGTTCCCTGTTACTCAGTTTAGATTAAAGATGACAGTTGGTTTCATACTACAAACAGATTGTTGGATCAGTCTCCTTTCATTTCCTCACACCCCCCCCCTCTTCCTTAACTCTTTTCTAGATCCTCTCATCCCCAGCCCCCCCCTTCAACCACTTTTCCTAATTCCTTACTTTCCCCCTTTTCAACTTAGGCCGGAAGAATTTCCCTTTTCTCCTATTCCTCTCCATTTTCTTCCCGCTTTTATCACTTTTGTTTTCCGCTTTGTCCCAAGTCATTTTTGCCTTTAACTACTCCTTTTTTTGCCTTACCAATCCATTTTCCCATCCCATTTTTCCCTTACCAATCCATTTTTCCATTCCATTTTTATTTGTATCCCATTTCCTTTCTCCCCCACCCTTCCATTCCACCTTTTTCTCCTTTACCTATTCTGTTTAATGTTCCCTCGACCCCCTTTACACATTTTTTACTTTCTTCCTTTTCTTCCTTTTCTTCCTTTTCTTCCTTCTCCGTGCCTCTGCAATTTGCAGATTAAAAACAAAATCCAGAATTTATCAACAATTTGTTAAAAGTTCTAGACCCAAAAATAATAAAAATATGAAACAAACTTTGCAAATATTTTACCGCCAGCAGGGCAACAACTGGTATTAGCAGAAAAGATATTTCATAAAAAAATTGAGTCTTTGCCACAAACTCTGATTTTTTAATCTCTTTTTTATTTCAAACTATGAGTTCTGTTAAATTAAATAACCTTTGAAATCTCAAATGTTTAGGCATCAGGTTGCACAGAAATAGGCATTTGCATATTTAATTTTGTGGCTAAGACTCAATTCCTTTGTTGGTTAAATGCATATGTTCTTGGCTGCAAACTACTCAATATCTATTCCTAAATTTGATATTTCTAAATTTTAAAACTTTAAAACCATTTTAAACAGATTCTAGCTGGAGAAACTCCCGGGGAATTCTATATTTGGAATTCATCTTTTTAGAAACTATTTTTTCATCGGAGGAGGGAGAAGGTTGGGGTCAAAGGAAAATAATGAGATTCATGTGAGGATAAACCATATCAATCAAACAGTTATGAAAGGAATTGAGTCTTTGCCACAATATCAAAGATTTTCGAATCCCAGTATCTTTGCAACTCAACCTCTGAGACCTTATATATGTCAAACTACTCAAACTACTAATTCTGTTGGATCAAATAACCTAAGTTTGAAATATCAAAGATTTACACCATCAGGTTGCAAGGATATAGAGATTACAAAACTCAATTATAATTTTTTTGTAGCACTGAAGATAAACTTTTAAAACCGCTAAAATCTTGTTCAAAATTTTCTAGTTTAGAAGAAATGTTTGCAATATTCAGAATTTTATATTTTAGTTCACAGTGCGCTTACAAACATTATTTGGTCTCAGCTGGGAACTTTAGAATGGTGGATATCGAGATCAATGCTTGATCCACTCTTTTTCTTAATCTCGAGACTAACCTTATCTTGTACTTGTATCCTTAAAAGGGTATAACATTCAACCAATCATAGTCGCGTATCAGAAGCCAGGAAATTTGAAATTTTGCGCGCCAATTAAGATTAATAAAGGAAACCGGGGGGACTCTCTTATTTTGAAAACCCGGTTTTTGATTTTTTTGTACTATTTCCAAAAAAGAGTGGTTAAGCAAGAAATTAAAAGTGTCCACATTGGATATTCGGATTAAGCAGTCGGAATTAATTAGGTATCCCATTCTTAAGTTCCCAGTAACCAGCTGAAAAAAACCAGCATTGAATGTCATCAGAGCCTTATTTTTTTAACCGGGTTTCGTTTCTTAGACATTCAAAAGAAATTGAGTTTCTGCGACATCTCTGATTTTCAAATTCCTCTATATTTGCAACCCATGTCAAAGACTGTGGAGAGTTCAATTACGAAATCTTATTATAAAATAATTAAGGTTTACACCATCAGGTTGAAAAAATACAGGGATTAGAAAATTATATTTTTTTCGGTAAAGACTCAATTCCTGTAATCTTAAAATTTCCGGCCTACCACGATAATGCACAAATCATTTTCATAACAAATAATTCACAATTAAAATTTTGCCAACCCTTTGATGTTAATTCAAAACAACCAATTTTTAAAAATAAACAATTTGTTGACAAATCTGTCAAGGTGTTTGCACTATAGATTAAAAAAGTTGGTTGAAAGTTGCAGACTCCATGGCAGCAATTACTCTGAAAAAAACAGGACAAGTACAAAAACAGAAAATGGTTTTTTTTTGGGACAAAATTTCAGGGTGAATAAGGGTATCAATGCTGTCAAATAAAAGATAAGTTGAAATAGTCGTTACTTGAAAATCTATTTAATCTCTTTGTACACTTTTCATTTAAAAATTTACAAGAGAGAAAAAATTGAATTGAATTTAAAATCTTGATTTTCTTTTCATGCCAATAGATTTTAAATTGAGTCGTTTAAAATGTATACAACAATTTCAATCAACAGAGTGAAAAGTAAGGGGGGGGGGCAACCCATACAATAAAATACAAATAGAATAATATATTGAATAGAGAGTTGAAAGGTGTAGATGTAGATGAATATCGAATATCTGAAAAAGATAAAAAAAATTTTGTTCGTATGATCGAACTATCATTTCGTGTTCACAAGAACTTTGTTAGAAATTTTGAACAGAATTTTGGGATATTTCACAAATTTGTTCCAAAAAAAATAAGTTCGCAATTTTTAGCAAAATGTTTATGAATTTGCAACCTCCCTCTCACTAGCCTTTAACCCTCTGTTTTGTTCTGCATTACTCTCTGAAGTCTTGTATAGTCTCCTGGAGACAATCACCACCCTTTCTTTGTTTCAGTTTCATTTGGCCCTACCCCCTTCCTGGTGGGTGCAAGAAGACCTTGGCCACCATTTTTGCATAAGGCAAATAGATAAAATTGTAAATCAAATGACTATGGTTGAGAGAGATGATAGGGGAAGGGGGGGACTATTATAGAAGAAGGGTTGGTTGGAGAGAAACTACAGTAGAAATTACTTTTTATTAAAGATGATAATGTATTGTGCAAACAAGGAGTTTATCTTGCAAGCAATGGATAAATTATACATACAATACAGTGGTGCCCCACAGCCTGATGATCCATCTTTCAAATAAAAAATCCATGAAATATTTTGATCATAGGAAAATACTATGTGAATTATCAAAATTATCAAAATGAATTGCTTTTATTCTCCACGGACACTAGAGGAACAAAATGCATCTATTCTTGTTTGCAAACAGAGCCCATAGAGAACTGGTTTCAATATGTACGCAGAAAATACGCAACAACAATTAACTTTCTTTGCCTTATTACCTTGTTCTGCTCAGGCGCTGACATTTGTTTATTCTTTCCAGAAACTGCAGTAGACTTTACTTGTGAATAAAGCTAACTCTAAATTTTATAACACCTGTAAGCAGAGATACTGTAAACCCGGAAAGAATATAAATAAACTAAACTGTTGGAAAACATATTTTGCTTTTAAGAAATCTAGAAACATATATCTCTATATTCTGATATACTAAACTGTAGTTGGAAAACATATTTTGCTTTTAAGAAATCTAGAAACATATATCTCTATATTCTGATAAACTAAACTGTAGTTGGAAAACATAGTTGTTTTTTTTTATGTAATAGCTAGAATTAGAACTATGCTTTTTCTTAGTTTTCCTCAAATATCTCAATAATTTGAGGATTTTTGGTATGGTGCGGGCCATAAAGAAGGCTCTAAATTTAACTGGAAAAATTCTTATTTTGTGACTGTTGAGTAATAACGCATTTTTGAATGGCACCAATCAATCAAAGATTTTTTTAGGCGAAAAATTGGATTTTTCTGAATAAAAAACTTGGAAATAAGATAAAATAAATAAGATGTATTAGATCAGCTCAAATGAAACCTTTATGCATCATAGCTAAAAAAAAGATTCTTTTTTTACATTTACCAATAATCTTTAATGTATGAGCTGAACCAAATGTTGTCAGTTCGGCTAATCAAAACTATATGATGGCCACAGGCTAACAGGACTTCAATTTGCGATTTTTTTTCTGTAAATATCTGAACAAAGACAGTAAAAAAGGGGTAGCAGAGCCCTTTTTCAATTTTAGGTTTTAAAGTTCCCTTTCTATAGGACTTTTCATAAAAGGTCGGATAAATTTTCCTATTTAACTCCAAAACCCTGGGAGCAACTCCAAAACCCTGGGAGCACTCCAAAACTCTGGGACTAGCCACCCCTTACTCGTGTGAGTGTGATGTGAGAGATTTGTTGATGGTTTCTTCAATTTTGAAAATACAGCAGGGTTGGCCTTGCTTCAATACTATTCCTATGAGACCTAGAAAATATCTTTTCAAGAAAATAATAGCAAACTAAAAGTAAAATATGATATACATAGCTATATAATTCAAATAAATATAACAATAATACCCATTTAAGAGTTATTTGAAAATAGACACTAAAAAACGGTCTCGTATTTACCTAATAAAAATATTTGATGTTTTTCCCAAAAATGAGAATTCACTGATATAGTCGATATCTGTTGTACGGAACGGTTACGCAGTTGCTTCTAACTCTACGACCACAGATGTCGTATTCTGCTCAATTCAATCTTTTGGACACAGGTAGCAGTTATATATAAGATATAGGGTTACCCACAAAAGATGAGACTGTAAAGACGACGCGTGCAACTATAAAATATGACGATTTGAAGCTTAGATTTTTGTTTCTGCACTCAATTGAGTATTTTGATGGTTTACTATATGATTAAGCACAGAAAAAACCCAGTTTTGCCTGCAAAAAACTCTGAATGCAAGAAAATATGGACTAAACAAATTCCGTAAAAGCGTCTCTGAAGTCTCATCCTTTGTGGGTAACCCTGTTCATAGAAAAAACGAGATTAAATTAAAATTAATTCTTCTGTTCGATGGTGTACACCTATAAACACTTTAAGTGTACAGTTCACATTGTTGTAAGATGTGCATCCATTGTATTACATGTACAAAGGAGAAAGGTTAGAACATTAAAAAAGAGAGAACTTGAATTGCTAGTCAAAAAAATAAACCTTGTGTGTTTGTACGTTTTAACGAGAACGACAACAGAAGTGGAAAAGCTTAAAGTGAAAAAAGTAATTTTGGATAAAAAAAATAACAAAGATAAAGATATATATATTTTTCATTAGGGTAACCCTAGCCGTCTACCCCTGGACACTGTTCTGTATGAGCTGGGTTCTCTTCTTCCATGTACATAACATACATAACAAAAAACAGGTAAATAATCATGTATACAACTGTATATGTGTACAGTTGCTGGGTTCTCTTCTTCCATGTACATAACATACACAACAAAAAACAGGTAAATAATCATGTATACAACTGCATATATGTACATGTGCTGGGTTCTCTTCTTCCATGTACATAACATACACAACAAAAAACAGGTAAATAATCATGTATACAACTGTACATGTGTACATGTGCTGGTTCTCTTCCATGTACATAACACAATAAAATAAGGTAAATTATCATGTATACAACTGTACATGTGTACATGTGCTGGTTCTCCTCCATGTACATAACACAATAAAATAAGGTAAATTATCATGTATACAACTGTACATGTGTACATGTGCTGGTTCTCTTCCATGTACATAACACAATAAAATAAGGTAAATTATCATTTACATATACAGTAAGAACCAGAAAACTGTGGCATTAATGTCGCTTTTACTCTTCTTTTCACTAATTTTCGAAAAAATCAATTGTAATTTGCGAATGTTGCAGATGATATACAGTGAAAAATAGAAAGTAGTAGTAAGTAAGTAATTATTTATTTATGAAACAAAAACATACAACATCAAGTGTTTCAGGAGAATATATTTAAAAACCTCAAAATATAGAGGTTGTGGGAATATTTCCACCAATTCTGAAAAATATTAAAAAATAGAAATCATAGGAAAAGGAAAGTTACATGTGTATTGTTGACATTATATATTATATATTATTATAAACTGGTGGAGGATTGTTATAGTATTTTTAGAAATAAAAATGATAGAAATACAAAATAATAAACTTTTAGCCTCAAGTTTTGACTTAAAATAGCCTAAGAAACAGGAGAAACAATAAATATGCAGTGTTAACAGACCCATTTCCCTTAATAATGAATTTTATAAGTTACTAGTAAATCCTTTTTCTTTGTAAAAACATCAATACACCTAATTATTGCATTAATGTCGTCTTCCTGTTCCATTGCTTTTGGGTTATCACTGTATATAATTCTAAAATAAATAGGGCACTTCTTATAGTTGCAAATTACACAATTGTGATAAAAAACGACGAGAATTCCATTGTTTTCTGGTACTCACCGTATCATTTACTAAAACAAAAAACGGGGGAAAAGACCTTTTAATGAATTTTGAAAATTATTAGTACTAATTTTATGTTGTAAGCCTTGTCAGTTATGTTATGTTAGTTATTAGTTAAGTTATTTTAAAGAATGATTAATCTGGAATTAAGAAAGTTTGAAAATAAAAAAACTTTCATTTTATATTTAAATCAATTTCCCATTTTGTAATCAGCTAAATCTGTATTTTAAATTTAAACTTTAACATTTGTAATGTGTAAAGCTGAATTGTTTAAAATTTAAAAAAAAGTATTTTTTTTTTTTTAACATATAAAATATGATCTTATTTGTCAGTACAGTACTCAATATGCATATTGATATAAAATGTATTATTATATCAGGAAGATACAGTGATGAAACAAAAGTATAATCAAATACTATTATTTTGCAACATTTATTATTCTGATATTTTATCTGTGTTTTTCCTCAAATATACCACGCATATATAATAAAATAATATCAGTATATTATAATTTACTAAATATTAATTGTATCATGTTGATTAAAAAGAGCTAAAAGGTTCTATTTTACCTTTTTATAAATGATCAAATTAAATTAAACTGTTTGACCAGATTGACTGAATTTTTTTGAGGGAACCCATGGCCTCCCGTAGTGTTATTAATCGTTTTAGATCCTTTCTATCAAAAAAATTCAATAAAACTTCAAACTGTTTTATATTAAACTTTATTTTTATTAAACTTAGCAATATATTTATCCTAAAAGAATAAAAAAGTCCAAAAACGATCTTTTCATCACGTTTGTTTTTGCATCGTTTTTGGATGGCTTTTTGCATCTTGACTATGAAAAAAATAAAGACAAACGACCGATAAACGATCCAACTGAACCCATGGGTACCGGGTANCTCCGATCGAAGTGACATAGGCTAAAAGGTTTTAAACTTTTTGAAATTCCACGAGCAACGCCGGGCACTGTAATATCAAAATTTACTCTAGATTCTCTAGTTTCCTGTAAAATCTAGTTTTACTCTGGATTCCCTAGTTTTCTGTAATATCTAGTTTTAATCTAGATCCTCCAGTTTCCTGTAATATCTATTTTTACTCTAGATTCTCTGTAGTTTCCTACAATATCTAGTTTTACTCTAGTTTCTCTAGTTTCCTGTAATATCTAGTTTTACTCTAAATTCTTCAGGTTCCTGTAATATCTATTTTTACTCTAGATTCTCCAGTTTCCTGGAATATCTATTTTTACTCTTGATTCTCCAGTTTCCTGTAATATCTATTTTTCGTTAGATCCTCTAGTTTCACGTAATATTTGGTTTTACTCTAGATTTTTTCAGTTTCCTGTAATATCTATTTTTACTTTAGATCCTCTAGTTTCATGTAATTTATAATTTTTCTCTAGATCCTCTAGTTTCATGTAATATTTGGTTTTAATCTAGATTCTCTAGTTTCATGTAATATCTAGTTTTACTCTAGATTCTCTAGTTTCCTGTAAACTCTAGTTTTACTCTAGATTCTTATAGTTTCCTCTAATATTTAATTTTATTCTAGATTCTCTAGTTTCCCGTAAAATCTAGTTTTACTCTAGATCCTCTAGTTTCATGTAATATTTGGTTTTAATCTAGATTCTCTAGTTTCATGTAATATCTAGTTTTACTCTAGATTCTCTAGTTTCCTGTAAACTCTAATTTTAATATTTAATTTTATTCTAGATTCTCTAGTTTCCTGTAAAATCTAGTTTTAATCTAGATCCTCTAGTTTCATGAGTTATTTGGTTTTAATCTAGATTCTCTAGTTTCCTGTAATATCTAGGTTAAGAACAATGTTTGTATGTTTATTTGTCGGGGAAAGAACTTTTTATTGACACATTTACATAGTTTAACCCTATTCCCGCTGGGGGGGGGGTCAATTTGACCCCCCCCTGTAGTTTTTTTTAAATAACTCAAAAAGTATTGGTCTGAGGCTGTTGAAATTTTCTGACTTTTCTTACATACCCAAAGCCCTCCCTTTAGGCCTAAAACCGGGCTTTAATACTAACTGCCTGAGTCCTCAGGCACACTGCCTGAATGACTGCTTTTGCCTGTAGCAAACTAAATCTTTGTTTTGACCCACTTTACTTGTCAGATTTTGATAAAATTTAGCTATTTGGAAAGCCTATGACATAAGGAAACGGATTGCACAAGTTTTGCGAAAAAAAAATTGCAAATTTTTTGCAAACAACCTGTCAAAGGAAATTTGCACATTTTTAGTTTTTCTTGATTAAAAATCAGGTTATTTAAAATTTTGCAAAAATTTTTGCATATTGAAAATGGCATGGTCAAGGGCTTTTCAAAAATGTATAATTTGTCATTTTTTGGACAAATTTTTTTTTGCAAACATTTTTACTATAAAACTGGATTTTGCGATAAAAAATTCAATTTTCGCAAATTTGCAAATTTTTTTGCAGATTCTAAAAGTAGAGCACATTTGTCATATTTGGACATAAAACATGGGATTTAGAGGGGGGGGTCAAATTGACCCCCCCCCAGCGTATCCTGGTTTTCAAGTACCCCAGCGGAGATAGGGTTAACATATAAAGTACAATTACACAACATTTCCAGCTGGTGGGAGAAATACAAGAATCAAACATTGTATTAGTTTTTCCAATAGGAAACCTAACTCATAGAAATAAATCCAATAAATATACTGTATATTGTCCAATAGGAAACCTAACTCATAGAAATAAATCCAATAAATATACTGTAAATTGCGTCTATTTTCTCCTCCTATTTATGTTCAATGTATAAAATAGTTTAGAAAAATCAAATAATAATAACTTACAAACGTTCTGAAGCAAAAATAAAACAAGACTTAAGGGAAGAATTGCTCGCTGGATTCTTCTTAATAACTTAACACTGAATACTAACGCCAGAATTCATTAGAGTACGTATCATGCATTTTGCCACTAAGGATGAGACTTCCAAGACAATTGTACTGAATTATTTTGATCCGTTTTTTGCATTTAGAGTTCCTTGTATTTCAAAAATGGCTTAATTCTGTACTTAATCATTTATTTAACCATTAATTACTTAATTGAATGCAGAAACCAAAAATTCAAGCTTCAATTCGTCATATTTTTATAGTTTTGGGTCGTCTTTACATCAGATCTCTAGAAGAAACTTAATTTTAAAATTTTGTTTTAAGAATTCAAGAAATAAAATTATCATATTCACTTAAAACTAATTGTATCATATATGCCAAGGTAATAAGGTAAGGAAAGTTAATTGCTGTTGTGTATTTTCTGCGTACCATACTGAAACAAGTTCTCTCTGGGTGCTGTTTGTAAACAAGAATAGGTGCATTAGTGTTCTTCCAGTATCCGAGGAAGATAAAAGCATTTCATTTTGAAAACTTTGATAATATCTGAAATATGGAATATACTGCCGACTAATATATATTATCTTAAAAAATGGAATATATATCCGACTAATAAATATTATCTAAAATATGGAATATATTGCCGACTAATATATATTATCTAAAATATGGAATATATTGCCGCCTAATATATAATATCTAGAATATGGAATATATATCCGACTAATATATATTATCTAAAATATGGAATATATTGCCGACTAATATATAATATCTAGAATATGGAATATATATCCGACTAATAAATATTATCTAAAATATGGAATATATTGCCGACTAATATATATTATCTAAAATATGGAATATATTGCCGACTAATATATAATATCTAGAATATAGAATATATATCCGACTAATATATATTATCTAAAATATGGAATATATTGCCGACTAATATATAATATCTAGAATATGGAATATATATCCGACTAATATATAATATCTGAAATATGGAATATATTGCCAAATAATATATATCATCTAAAATATGGAATATATAGCCGACTAATATATATTATCTAAAATATGGAATATATATCGGACTAATATATATTATCTAAAATATGGAGTGTATTGCCGACTAATATATAATATCTAAAATATGGAATATATATCCGACTAATATATGCTATCTAAAATATGGAATATATTGCCAACTAATATATATTATCTAAAATATGGAATATATAGCCGACTAATATATAATATCTAAAATATGGAATATATAGCCGACTAATATATAATATCTAAAATATGAATATATATTCATAATACATAGTATATGGAATATATATAGCCAACTAATATATAATATCTAAAATATGGAATATATAGCCGACTAATATATAACACATAGAATATGGAATATATTGCCGACTAATATATAATATCTAAAATCTAAAAAATATTGCCGACTAATATACATAATATCTAAAATAATGAATATATTGTCGACTAATATATAATACATAGAATATGGAATATATAGCAGACTAGTATATAATACATAGAATATGGAATATATATATCCGACTTATATAATATACATAGAATACGGAATATATTGCCGACTAATATATAACACATAGAATATGGAATATATATAGCCGACTAATATATAATATCTAGAATATGGAATATATAGCCGACTTTTATATAATACATAGAATACGGAATATATTTCCGACTAATATATAGTACATAGAATATGGAATATATATAGCCGACTTATATATAATACATAGAATACAGAATATATTGCCGACTAATATATAATACATAGAATATGGAATATATATAGCCGACTAATATGTTATATCTAGAATATGGAATATATATAGCCAACTTATATATAATACATAGAATACGGAATATATTGCCGACTAATATATAATACATAGAATATGGAATATATATAGGCGACTAATATATAATACATAGAATATGGAATATATATAGCCGACTAATATATAATACATAAAATATGGAATATATAGCAGACTAATATATAATACAGAGAATATGGAATATATATAGCCGATTAACATATAATACATAGAATATGAAATATATATAGCCGACTAATATATAATACAGAGAATATGGAATATATATAGCCGACTAATATATAATACATAGAATATGGAATATATATAGCCGACTAATATATAATACATAGAATATGGAATATATATAGCCGATTAACATATAATACATAGAATATGAAATATATATAGCAGACTAATATATAATATGAAAATCTGGAATATTCTGACTAGAATAGAATTTGGCAGTTTCTTTGTCCTTTTCTTTCTTAAAGAAAAGATGTGATTCAACAAACCGTAAAATTTAGCATCTTTGCATTTCTCATTTAATTAATTATATCTATATAACAATATTTAATTATATCTAACTATATTTAATTATGTTTAATCCTTTATAATTATACAGTTCTTAATTGTCTCGTGGTCATAAAACGGGGTTTAACAATTATAGTATACATTTTTACTCCTGAAAAATTCCAGTTTCTTAATTTATTTTATATGTTTTCTTCGCAGAGTTGGGCCTTAAAGGCTGAAGATTAGATTAAAGGCACTTTAAAAAACTTATGTGTTCTTGATGTTGTTGTAAAAAAATAATTAGCTTTAATAGTTTAAAAACCAACTAATTAAGTTAAATGGGTCAGTGGACACTGCATAATTTCGGCGTTAAATACTCTTTGGAGCGAGCAGGGGAAACAAAAAATAAGGGCAAAAATTTATATTAAAAAAAAATATTTTAAATATTGTTCAAGCAACCCCTTTTTGATGTAACTTCTATACCCCCTGTATGAATAGTATTTAAGTTGATATCTATATTTTTTATTTGTAAGATAGAACCCTGAATACTGAATCTTTAATACTGAACCCTGAATACTAAAAACTGTATACTGAACCCTGAACCCTGAACCCTGAACCCTGAACCTTGAACCCTAAATACTGAACCCTGAATATTGAACCCAGAACCTTAAACCTTAAATACTGAACCCTGAAAACTGAACCCAGGATACTGAACCCTGAACCTTGAATCCTAAATACTAAACCCTGAATACTGAACCCTGAATACTGAACCTTGAACCGTAAATACTGAACCCTGAACCTGAACCCTGAATACTGAACCCTGAACCTTGAATCCTAAATACCAAACCCTGAATACTGAACCCTGAATACTGAACCTTGAACCTTGAATCCTAAATACTGAACCCTGAATACTGAACCCAGAATACTGAACCCTGAACCTTGAATCCTAAATACTAAACCCTGAATACTGAACCCTGAATACTGAACCTTGAACCTTGAATCCTAAATACTAAACCCTGAATACTGAACCTTGAACCTTAAATACTAAATACAAAACCTTTAAGTGATCTTAAGAAGTAAAGTTCATTTTCATTTATAAAAATGTACAAATATATCTTTATCATTGAATTGTGAACTTTGAACCCAGTTTTGGGTGTTACCGGGAGAATAGGGTGGTTGAGATGTTTTCTTTTGTTAAAGGATAGCAGAAAACTAGAGGGTTAAAGAATACTTGGAATAAAGCTGTTATTATGCTTTCCTCTTTTTCTAAAATGTTTCGAAATGGACAAGAGGAAAGGAAAATTATGAAAGAAAAATAACCCCCTATTCTGGGGCTGTAGACGACATTATATGTGACCTTCAAGTTATGAATGGCATGTCCGATTCAGAAATGACTTGAATACTGAACCCCGAATACTGAACCCTGAATACTGAACCCTGAACCCTGAACCCCGAATACTGAACCCTGAATACTGATCCCTGAACACTGAACCCTGAACACTGAGCCCTTACTACTGAAACCTTAATACTGAACCCGCAATACTGAATACTGAACCCTAAATACTGAACCCTGAATACTGAACCATGAACCCTGAACCCTGAATACTGAACCTTGAATACTGATCCCTGAAAACTGAACCCTGAACACTTATCCCTTACTACTGAACCCTTAATACTGAACCCGCAATACTGAATACTGAACCCTAAATACTGAACCCTGAATTCTGAACCCTGCCTGAATAATTAACTCTGAATACTGAACCCGGAATAATGAACTCTGAATACTGAACCTTGAATACTGAACCCTGAAAACTGAACCCTGAACCCTGAACCCTGAACCCTGAACCCTGAACCCTGAACACTGCACCCTGAATACTGAACCCTGAACCCTGAAAAATGAACCCTGAATACTGAAACCTTAATACTGAACCCTGAATAATGAACCCTGAATACTAAACCCTGAATACTGAACCCATAATACTGAACCTAAATACTAAACCCTGAACCCTGAATACTGAACCCTGAACCCTGAATAATTAACCCTGAACCCTGAACCCTGTTCCCTGAACCCTGAACCCTGAATACTGAACCCTGAATTCTGAACCCTGAACCCTGAACCCTGAACCCTGAACCCTGAACCCTGAACCCTGCTCCCTGCTCCTTGAACTCTGAAGAAGAAACTAAGGAAGTTACATGAAAATACGTCTTCAGTCCTTTTAAAATCATGATTTTTAGAGGATTCCTGATAGAGATCCCTTGACTAACCTGGAGGATGAGATGGCACAGGAAGATCAGGTTTTTTATGAAAAAAAACCTCATATATATATATAAAATATTGTATGACTGGCAAGGAGTAGTTGAATTAAAATTTGCTAGTTAAACTATGTTTTTAGAGCAATTTCAGCTGTAGATATATCATTTAATCTTCTGATCGATCATTGATAATAATCATAATTTATACTTTTTCATAAATACTAAATTTTTCATTTTTAGGTTGACAATGCGGAGGGAAAGGTATTCAACATTTTTATTCGTTTTTTTTGTAATTTGAGACATTTTATATGTTTTCATCTTTTGGTTGTACATTTTTTTTGCATTTTTTCCCAATACAAATTTTTTTTAAACCCGCCAGCAACGACGAAATTTTATTTTCATCTAACAAAGATAATTCGAACTGTGGTTACTAATTTTGTGAGAGGTTTAAAATTTACAATGCCTGAACTCAATATACTCAGAAAAAAATGTAAACGTTTTAAACAAGTGAAATTTCTATATTGCAATTTTAGCTGTAGGATATATTATTTAATCTTCTAATCAAACAATGATAATAATCATTATATTTTATACTTTTCATAAATATTACATTGTTTATTTTTATGTTGACAATGCCGAGGGAAAGGTATTTAAATATGTTACTCGTGTTTTTTGTAATTTTGCTAAAATTTAAAATTTACACGTCTGAACTTCATATCCACAGCTGTTGTTGTAATTTCAAGTCACACTCTATGTCAAGAGGTCCATCCTCGAACTACAACTTTAAACCTTTATTAAAATTAATTTGGGAAAATAAGGCTCGGGTCTAAGCTGTCGTTGGGCTTGAGCCTACAGATTCAAGCTGCATCTTATTTTCCACAGAGTTGAGTAAAAAAAAGTTTAATATTTATTATATTTGGCGGATTTTCCTTGTAGGAATTGGTGCATTCCGGGTCGGTTTTATTTTAATTGGGCCTAAAAGTCGAGCCGAAGAGTTTGCAGCTGTCAATCACGTGACACACGCTGTCGTCAGAGTTGGGTTGAAGATTAGGTATTAAAGTCGGGTTTAAGGAATTGAGACTCGAGCCGAAGTATTTAAATCGCGGGCTCAGATTAATAATGTGAACAATATTTTTAGCTTGAAAATTTCTATAAGAATTTCTCTTATTGATTTTGTACCAAGAAATCGACAATTCAATTTTATAGAGAAGCCACGATTGAAGCTTTTTAAGTTACCGTTCTGAATCGGTGACTACTAGAAGGCCACTTAAAATTACGTGAACAGTCCTTTTAATGCGTCCAATGTTGTTCCTGTTTGTAGGCTGGAATCCTGGAAAAGGGATTGTTGACTGGAATATGGATTGCAGGATTAGGATATGGTCTACTCTCAGATTCTTGTGAACTAAGAGAAAAACCATTCTCAACATCAGGTTTTACTCATAGAATCTAGGGTTAACTTCAAAGAATGAGAACAAATAAAGACGACTAAACAGGTCGTTTCATTATTAGTTCTTGAATTTATGGTTTATCATACTAATGTTATATCTTTTAAACAAATTGTACAGGGATACCCACAAAGGTTGAGACTTCAGGACTACTAACAAAACGTATTTAAATCTTTTCTCATTTGCATTCATAGATGTCTGCAGCTGTAAACTTTTTCTTGTTGGTTGACAAATGATCTAGTAGAGGGTGTCCCAATAAGCATGGGAATTCAGCGACGAATTTGATATCGTCTTTGTTACGAATTAGCATTGTAGTACCTGATTTCAAAAGCCATAATATTATTGTGTCCGCTAGAGTTTATTTTGTGTAAAACGGTAAATGGCTGTAAAGATGTATTTATAATGTCTTCGCAAGATGAACAGTGAAGACGGACAAGTTTACTCTGTTTGTAACTGTAATTTTCTTGTTTTACTAAGTATGCAGTCAAAACATAAACAAACAAATTGTAAACATAGCAGACAAAAATCTTACGGATTACAGCTTACTCAGAAGGTATACTAAAGCAAAGAATTATTTAAAAAGACGACATCGAATTCGTCACTAAATTCCCATGTTTATTGGGACACCCTGTATATCACGAGAAGCTATGTTTAGGGTTTAAAAAAACTATATTTAACATTTAGATCGTTGTTTTTTAAGAGTTTTATGTCGTCATTAATTGTTGCATCCATTGACGGTAACTCTTTATTATTTACAGACATCGCCATCATGAATAACCTTTCTCAAATAGAAGTTTAGTTCTATTCTTAACTATGTTTCACGGACATGTAATAAATTTTAACTCAAATGTCTATTTGAACGTGTCGTATATAATATACATTTTGATTGTCTGTTTCTTTTTGTGGCAACTCATGAACTCGAGGAAGTTTTATGACCGGTCCAAATTGAAAAGTTCTGTCTAAAGACTGTCAAATTTTTAAAATCCATTAACGTTAATTGAAAAATCTGCAAAATTTAGAGTTTTAAATTACTTAGAAAAAATGGTGGTTTGGATAGGAGCATTCTAAATGTTAAAACATGAAACCTTGTGTAGAATATAAAAACCTTGATTATAAATAGTTTTCAACATTTTTATGGTTGGTGTATTATCTACAAAATGTCCAACTTTTTAGTGGAATGTTTTTTACAAAAAGGGCGCCTCAGTTTTTTGGAGGTATGAAAACTCAGCTTTTTTCTATCTGAATGCAAACTAGCTTAAAGACTGGTCTTTTGTTTATGTTTCTCCCAGAATGAGCAGAACATAAAAAAATGGGTTTACTATTGCATTTTTTTCTGTTGGGCAATTTCATGTTTTCACCTTTCCTTGACTGTGAAGGTTGCATTTTCAAATATTTCTCAAAACTCAATTTCCTCTTCATATAACTTCTAATTTCTTCATCTTCTCTCCTCTTCTCACTTTAACCCATACTTTCAATTTTGTCTAAAACACAATTTCCTTGCTTAAAAATCAATCGGAAATTGATTCGACAGTTTTCGTATACAAATCAGATTAGACTTTCAGGAACCCCGTCTTTCCCAACATCAGATTTGAAGTGAATATAATTATTATAATCTCAATTTTTAATAATTCAACTGGATAAGAAGGCTTTTATTATCTTCATCAATTTAACAGAGTTTCTTCAACGTTCTCTACAAAAAGAAGTGAGGTGCAAAATAAAAGTTGTTGAACCCTATTCCTGGGATTTATAAAATATAGTCTGCCTTTCTTCGATTTGATATTAACAGGGACAAAATGTTTCGTTGAAATTTTCATCAAAAGATAAAACGAAACAAATATCCAACCATTTTTATGTTTGTAATTTTTTTAGAAGATAAAAAATTTGATACATGATTTGCATAAAAGATGATATTTAAGATATATATAAAATCGTATATCTAACTCAATTTTGAAGGTAAAGAACCTGCCGAGCCACATTTTAGAAATCCCAGGATTAGAGAAATATATAGTTACGATTAATATAAGATTTTCAGTATCATCATAAGCTTTCAAAGTTGAACCAGTTTTCATGTTTTTGGCACACCTACAAGAGCTTGATAAGTCTCTCAAGACTAATCCTAAAATGTTCTTTAATGCATGGTATTATAATACTTTATTTACTACAAATACAAAGAAACAGACAACAAGGTTATTCTGATAAAGAATAAATTACAGGTTTAAAACCAGTTCTAGATAAATTAAATTTAACTAAGAAATGTTTAATGCTGGCATCTAATATTATCAAGTTTCATTGGAAAGATTTTAGTTGTTTTGAAACATGGGGTACAACTGTAAACACTGCAATCACAGGTACATGGTTTGAACCATGGGGTACAACTGTAAACACTGCAATCACAGGTACATGGTTTGAACCATGGGGTACAACTGTAAACACTGCAATTACAGGTACATGGTTTGAACCATGGGGTACAACTGTAAACACTGCAATCACAGGTACATGGTTTGCTTTGTGTAGTGTATACTCGTACCAGCCCGTCTAGTGTACCCAGTCTGTGGTTGCTCAGAGCGTTTTGCAGAGAACTGTTTATAATTCAAGGTTAGGAGGAAGGTGTATTTTTATTGGTTTTTATAGGTTTAAAGATGTATCAGGGTTGGACTAAAATAGATTCATTTTCGGAGATTTTCAAGATAATTTTCGGAGATTTATAATTTTGGGAGAATTTCGTCAGAAATGAATAGCTAAGTTACCCTCTGTATCCATATCCTAATCCATATCCTGATCCATATCCTGATCCATATCCTGATCCATATCCTGATCCATATCCTGAACCATATCCAGATCCATATCCAGATCCATATCCATATCCAGATCCATATCCAGATCCATATCCAGACCCATATCCAGATCCATATCCACTGTTTCCGTAATAACTGTTATATCCGTTCATACTGGTGTATCCATCATTATAGCTTGGATATCTATTATACCGATCATAACCACCATATCCATCATAATAGCTGTCTCTGTTTCCATAATAGCTTCCTCCGTAACCGCTTTCATATCCACCATAACCATTACCATAGTAACTCCCTCTATGGTGCCCACATGAGACCTGGAAAATACTAACTAGGAGTAGGAGGAGAGCAGGGTTCATGTTGCTTGGAAGATCTTGATTAAACTGAACCTTGTAGAATTGGGATGGAGAAGGAAAGAGAAGAGTAATTATAAAGAAGACTGTAGGATAATTATAAGATTATAGTTTATACAGAAAGACAAGATGTCAGACAAAGAAAACGATTTCAACCAATTATATTTTCTAAGACGTCTATTGTTCTTTTAAAAGAATTGGTAGTAAACATAGAGTAACTGTAAATAGCATTGCAACAAATGCAAAACTTAAATTTAGGAATTTAAACTTTATCTCCGATTTCTAAGTTTTTGTTTTTTAAAAGGAGTCCAAAGGAATTGAGTCTTTGACACAAACTCTGATTTTCTAATCACTATATCTTTGGAACCAAATGTTACAGACCTTAGATATTTCAAACTATAAATTCTGACAAATCAAATAATCAGAGCTTGAAATATCAAAGGTTTACAACATCGGGTTCTAAAGATATTGGGGTCTTAATATTAAATTTTGTTACAAAGACTCAATTCCTTTGCTCCGTTTTAAAAATTTTTATTATTTATATAATTCCCCGTTAACTCCCAATATCCTTACATCTTACTTACAATATCTTTCACCTTTTTAACAAACAATATCTTCACTTTTTAACATACAATATCTTTCATTTTTAACTTACAATATCTTACACTTTTTATATTACAATATCCTTCATTTTTATCTTACAATATCTTTCACATTTTATCTTACAATATCTTTCACTTTTTATCTTACAATGTCCTTCATTTTTATCTAACAAATCTTTCACTTTTATCTTTCAATATTCTTCATTTTTATTTTACAATATCTTTCACTTTTTATCTTGCAATATTCTTCATTTTTATCATACAAAATCTTTCACTTTTATCTTACAATATCCTTCATTTTTATTTAACAATATCTTTTACTTTTTATCTTGCAATATTCTTCATTTTTATCTAATAAAAATCTTTCACTTTTATTTACAATATCTTTCACTTTTTATTTTAAAATTTCTTCCACTTTTTATCTAACAAAATCTTTCACTTTTATCTTACAATTTATCTTTTACTTTTATTTTATAATATCTTTCACCTTTGTCTTACAATATCCTTCAATTTTAACTTACAATATCTTTCCTTTTATCTTACAATATCCCTGATTTTTATCTTACAATATCTTTTTTAATATCTTATAAAATCCTTCATTGTTATCTTACAATATCTTTCACATATTTTACAATATCCCTCATTTTTATCTTACAATATCTTTCACTTTTATGTTACATTATCATTCATTTTTACCTTACACTATCCTTCACCTTTATATTACAATATTCTTTATCTTCATCTCACAATATTCTTCATCTTTATCTTACAATATCCATCATCTTCATCTTACAATATCCTTCACCGTTATCCTACAATATCCTAAACCTTCATCTTACAATATACTTCACTTTTATCTTACATTATCTTTCACCTCTATTTTACAATATCCTTATTTTTTCTCTTACAATATCTTTCACTTTTACCTTACAATATCCTTAACCTTTACCTTACAATATCCTTAATCTTTACCTTACAATATCTTTCTCCTTTATCTTACAATATCCTTAACCTTTACCTTACAATATCCTTAATCTTTACCTTTCAATATCCTTCTCCTTTCTATTACAATATCATTTGTCTTTACCTTACAATATCTTTAACCTTTACCTTACAATATCATTAACCTTTATCTTACAATATCCTTCATTTTTCTCTTATACAGTGAAACCCTTAATCACGAATACATCGGAAGAATTTATCAAATGTCGTCTTGACAATTTTCAATGAATTTTATACTATATTACGTAAATTTCAGTATTTGCGAAAATAAATAAATAGCCATCAATATGCGAGAACAATAATATCATTATCCTACATTATCAATGATTTAAATAAAAAGAAGGAAACAGACAAAAACTTCCAAATCTGGCATACGACTTTTCAAATGAACCTCAAATTATTTTGTAGACAGCACCATTCAAGTTCGGATTTCCGATTTTAACATATTATTATCTAGGTTGGGTTTCATCAGTATTCCTTTTCCTAGTTCCGGTATTCCTGGGTCCTATACTGGCGCTCTTAGTTACATTTATACTTACATTTACTCAGGTAAACTAGCATTCCTGGGTCCTATACTGGTCTTAGTCTCATTTATACTTACATTTACTCAGGTAAACTAGCATTCCTGGGTCCTATACTGGCGCTCTTAGTCTCATTTATACTTAACTTTACTCAGGTAAACTAGTATCTCTGGATCCTATACTGGCGCTCTTAGTCTCATTTATACTTACATTTACTCAGGTAAACTAGCATTCCTGGGTCCTATACTGGCGCTCTTAGTCTCATTTATACTTAACTTTACTCAGGTAAACTAGTATCTCTGGATCCTATACTGGCGCTCTTAGTCTCATTTAAACTTAACTCTACTCAGGTAAACTAGTATCCCTGGATCCTATACTGGAGCTCTTAGTCTCATTTATACTTAACTTTACTCAGGTAAACTAGTATCCCTGGATCCTATACTGGAGCTCTTAGTCTCATTTATACTTAACTTTACTCAGGTAAACTAGTATCCCTGGATCCTATACTGGAGCTCTTAGTCTCATTTATACTTAACTTTACTCAGGTAAACTAGTATCCCTGGTTCCTATACTGGAGCGCTTAGTCTCATTTAAACTTAACTTTACTCAGGTAAACTATATAATAACAAGATGCAAATTGCACACATTATTCGCAAATCAATAAATCTGCTAAATTTATTTATTCGGTGATTGATTTTTAATTTGATAAAAAAAGTCTTTTCCTTGTGTGCTAAAAGACTACATTTTGTGTTTAATAAAGACAACGTTTTTCCTTGTTTTATCAAAAAAAATCTTGTTTCAAAAAATTATTTTTTAAATACAACATTCTTATTTGCTTGATAAAGAAAATTTTTCCTCGTTTAAAAAGAAAAAGATTTTTCTAACTGTTTTTTTTTTTAATTTTTCTTGTTTTTCTTTTTTTCGATAAAAACAAGGTGTTTCTTGTTTAAAATAAAAAATTACTTACCTTGTTTTATGAACACAAGATTTTTTCTTGTTTCTTTATCACTAGATTTGTCCTTGTATGATTAAAACAATATTTTCCCTTGTCAAAGAAATGCGAGATTGTTTCTTTGTTGGAGTAAAATTATTCTCGGTTCAATAAATACAAGATTTTTCCTTGTTTCATGAAGATATAATTTTTCCGTGTTAAACAAATGCAATTTTTTTCATTGTTTGAAAAGAACAAGATTTTTACCAGTTAAATAAATAATAAAAATATTTCTTAGTTGATAAAAAAGAACTTTTCCTTGTTTTGTACATTTTTCCTCTAGAGACCGGAGGTAGAAAGGATTGATGAGGCTAATTATCCTGCTGTCCCTAGAAATCAACCTCCTGGGACCAATCCAAGATCTTCTTTCAGCAGGAACCAATTCTTGATTACATCCCCCCACTACCCCATCCCCCCTTAGAGGTCACCTAAACCAATTTACGTAATGGCTGAAAGGATCGCTTTCGTTGTTCATTTACATTCATCCCGTCAGATGCTTATTACACTGGTGTCTTTTACAAATATACATTTACTAAGCATATTATAGACATATTATAGACAGAACATATCATAGACAGGACATTTTATGACAAGAACATTTTATAGACAGGACATTTTATGAACAGAACATTTCATAGACAGGACATTTTATGACAAGAACATTTTATAGACAGGACATTTTATGAACAGAACCTTTCATAGACAGGATATTTTATGAACAGAACATTTCATAGACAGGACATTTTATGAACAGAACCTTTCATAGACAGGATATTTTATGACAAGAACATTTTATAGACAGGACATTTTATGAACAGAATCTTTCAAAGACAGGACATTTATGAACAGGAAATATCATAAACAGGACATTTTATGAACAGAACATTTAAGAGACAGGACATTTTAAGGACAGGAAATATCATAGACAGGACATTTTATGAGCAGAATATTTCATAGACAGGACATGTTATGGACAGGAAATGTCATAGACAGGACATTTTATGAGCAGAATATTTCATAGACAGGACATTTTATGAACAGAATATTTCATAGACAGGACAATAGATCCAGATTCCAGGCTGCTAAAGAAAGTTGCTTCATTTTTCTAAGCTAGGCCGATTTTAAAGTCCTTTGATTTTACCACACTCTAACATATACTTTTTTTGCAGTCCTTTAAGTGTACATTTTAGAACTATGAAGAACTTTATTTAGTTTAAGTTTTAAACTGTAGCTTGCATTAAAAATGCTACATTTTTTCCCTTGGAACCCTAAATATTACTATACACCATGCTCAGCAGTCAAAATATGTTATACTTGTTTCGAAGCTTTGTTTTAAATGGTTCTCCATATATTCATAGTTTTATTTTAATCAAAAACGGTTCCAGGGACCAAGCTGAGGAATCAAGCAAACACATTGAAAACCAGGAACAGTCAGGAACTCTTGTCTTGATGGAACAGTTTGAGAGTCTGGAACCAGAGTTAAAGGATTATAAGAACGACCCTAATGCATTTAAAATAGAAAATATTCATTCTAAACTAGAAGTTTTTAAAACTCCTCAGGACAATACTCCGGAGAATATGACAGCAGATTTTGAATATCGGATAGTTATAAATGCATGTTTGGATGCTAGAATACAGGACGATTCGTCAAACATTGATTCCGCACACAGAATAAAAAATCCATTTTCATCCAACATAACCTGTCTAACTCTACTCAACATTATCCTTCTGTTAATATTCCTGGCTGGAAAGGTTGGTTCAGAATTAATAAATATGCGTATTCTATATTATGTTCTTCTCAAATGTATTGTTGGAACGAGCCACCATCTTCTCTCTCCGCTTGCACTGCTCTACAGCTATGTGGAACTCAGAAACGCCGCAAAAGTCGTGTTTATGCGCGGCGGCACTGTTCAAAACAAGTCTAAGGAGATGGCACTTTCTGAGCTCAAGAAAGAACTTGGAATAATATCACGTGACTCGTAATAAAAGAGTTCATTAATATTAATAAACATTGTTTAATAATTTTTTTTTATGATGATACTTTACAGAGATCTAGTCAGCTAAGAAATGTATGCATTCAACTTTAAGACCTTGGCAACTCACATAACTCAAAATTTTTCGGAAAAAATGTCGACATTTATTATTTTGGAAAATGCACCAATTAAAACAAAAAAAAATCCGCAAAAATTTGCAATTTTAAATGGTGACTTTCAGAGTAATAGTTAACTTCTAAAATTGTTAATAGGAAGGGGGGCTCAAATCTCCTTAAATCTCTATATATAAATATATAAACATAATTCACTTGTATTTGGTTCCTTGGTTTTCAATGTGATTGTATCAAAGAAATGTAAAAACGAATTTATGTAGGAAAGTCAGGGAAAAACGTTGCTGGAAATAAAAACCTTGGTAAAAAAGTACCAATTTTCTGATGCCCTAAGACAAAATGTCACTGGAAATAAAGTCCTCAGTTTTAGATTCCTAGTTTTTATCTTTTTTCCTTAAACAATATGTGGGCTGTCAATGATGTCTCCGGAAATCAAATCACAGCAATTAAAGTCCTGAAGAAAAAAGTCCCAAGTCTTAGGAAAATGTGGACAATTCTTAGACGTTTTCATAAAAAGGACATTTGTCTATACATCTGCATATTGAATATAGCAAGGGGTGTTTTTAATATCAAGTCCATTTTTTGTTTGTTACCATGTATTTTCCACTAAAAGATGACACTTTTCCTCGAGGACTTTTTTGTAGAAAATCGGAGCAAGTAAAAAAGGCCTAGAAAGTAAAGTCTCAAAATGGCAGGACTTTATTTCCAGAGATTTTTTTTATTTTAAGGACTTTTTTCCACAGGACTTTTTTAGTGCCAACATTTAGGACTTTATTTACGAAAACCTTCTTTTCAGTGAACTTTTTAGGCGGTTACCGTCAAAACGGCAGAACTCATCTATGGTGACGTCAGAAGATAGAAACCTACATAACTTGTTAAGCCTGCTTATGATTTTGTTAACAGAAGATATAATTTTCACAAATGAGAAATAATTAAGTATACAAACAGTGCCACTTATAAAACAGAGAAATGATTGTACAGAAACAGATAGAAAAAAGAAAACATTTATTAAACAAAAACAGAAAAAAAAACAGATTAAAATGATAAGATAAGCAATAATAGATGATTTTATATTTTTTTACGACGTAATACATTCTATATACGGATTCCAGCAAAAAAAATTCGTATTGCCGAAAATTTCGCAATGTTTTTGCATTTCGTTCGCTCGCAAAATTCCGCTTCAATCTGTTCCTCGAAATTTTCGCAAAACAGGAAATGTGAAAATTTCGCGTAAAAATTCCAATAATAATAATGCGGAAATTTCGCGAAAAAAATAATGCGAATAATTTCTGGACGGACAGAAACTTGGAAAGATAGGTAGAGAAATCAAATTCTTTTCATTAAACATTTATTAAAGTTAAGGAAGAGAAATCCTCAATATGATAAAATAAAACTTCAAATGTTGAGCTCTCAGAGCAGATAATTAATCAGTTTTTTTGCGCAATTAATTGTTGCAGCTACAACTTTTATGCTTTTCGCTTTTTTTCACTTTATTCATTTTCGCGAAATTTCACGAAAAAGTTTGCGAAATGCAAACGAAAATTATTGTTATTTTCGCGAAAAGGTTTGTTTTCTGGAAACCCTTTAATACCTTGGAAAGTAAATATTCTGTGGTCTGCAGTTTAATTGTATCATTTTATTGGTTTTAATCTGGCGCTATAATGAAAATTAAAATCCAACCAGTTCCAATGCCTTTATACCATAGACTTACTCACCAACAAGAATCGAACCATAAATAAAATCCAATAAACCTTAATCACTATAATTAGTATTCGCCATACCAAACCGCACGGGGGTTCATGTACAATTGTACATTGCAGTAAAGTGTAATTGTACACATAGATAAATCATCTATACTGTGGTTGTCTGTCTGTCTAGGTGTCTTTTGTTCGCCTGTGTGTATCCAATAAATGTCAAAACGGCTGAACCGATGACCCCAGGGAAGGTTTATGGATGCTTAAAATAACAAAAAATAGTCTCCAAAATTTTTTGATTTTCGTTTATAATTTATTTTTAAAAAAATCCACGGAAAAAAAATTTAAATTAGCATATTCTTTGTTTGTTTTATCGAAAAGAAAAAGCTGAAAGATTGAGCAACTATAAAGAGTTTAAATAAAAGATAGGCACGAAGCGCCCTGTAGCCTGGTAGAATCTGCGAAAATTATCTTTTAAAAAGCAGAATAAAATTTTTTAATTTCTTCTGTACATTTTACTCCTGGTGGTGTACAAGCTGTGTTCTAAATATCTGGAAATTATAGATAGTGACAAAAACAGTTTATTTTTTTTCTGTAAAATTAATGTATAGATTATAATTATATTATATTATATTATGTTGGTGCAGTGCATTAATACATTTGACAAACTTTTGAAACTTACTTTTTGTACCTTGCAAATTATATTTTTTATTCAGAGAAATAATTACAATGTACGAATTCCCTATTTATGACTTTCTAGGTTAATCATTTTGAAATAAAATATTTAATTTGTGTTCACAAAAAATGCTGAGAAGCGCTCGTCGGTTTTCACTTTATTATCTGCATGAATTGGGATTCAGGACACCATGCAATTTTGTTTGAAAATGCATTATGAATTAAATAAAAAGTTATCGTATATAAACTTTCATTAATAGCTAACATTTTCATCTTTTTTTTAGTGATACATTTTTTAAAATTCACTAAATTTACAACAACAAAGATGTCCTTTTTTTTGCAATTTTTTGCAATATTTTTGTTTTTCAGAGAAAGTATAGCAAATATTTTTATGTGAACAGACCATTTAAGTTTTTATCTAAAGCCAAAAATGTCGCTAAAAAATAAAAATTTTGGGCCCTTATTTCTTAAGAAGGGCCCAAAACCTTGTCTGTGACTGCAACCTTATATAAAAATTCAAAAGGAACTGTTTTTTTGCCACAAACTCACAATTTCAAACCTAGATTATTTGACCTAACATAATTCATAGTTTGAAATATCAAAGGTCTACAGTCTACAACATTGTGTTGCAAAGACATAGGGATTATAAAATCAGATTTTGTGGCAAAAACTCAGTTTCTTCATTGAATACTGAAAGCAATCGCATAAATTGATCGATTGCATGTCAATTTCTTTAACAACATAATTTTAAAGTATATTCTCCACTCAAACGGATTTTTTAACTCAACATTTTCCCCTTTCTTCCCTTTTTTATTTTGTAAAAGAAGGTCTCACCTATATTGCTTGGATTCTAAATTTGGTATATTTTTACAATTAACACATTGTCTCATATTTTGGTTAGAATTATCGTTTTTATGAAGCTGGTTTCAGATTTAGGATCGACTCTAAAGGATTAAAGTTGTAGGCTCAGGAGTCCAGATATCTAGATGTATATAGGTTGTATACAAAGAGAATAGAATATATATTAGAGTGGAATTTATTAGAAAAAAGTGTAAAACGGCCATTTTGTTGTACTGTTTCCATACTGCAGGCGTACTTCACATATTTATGCTATATAACCTTTTGGGCCTGGAACATCCTTTTATAGACAATCTAAAATTAATATTAAAAGAAAACCAAATTATGAAATAGGCTGGTTTCATAATTTACCAATGATCATTTCACATAGACTCTATGCCTTCCACTTTACAAACGATGATTTTCCGTTATAACTATAAATCAAATGATGTTTTTATTCACCTAATTTATTTTATAAAGTTTATTTAACAGCTTTAAAAAATTCGAAATTGAAATGGATAGTCTAGGGATTATACTGTATTAATGTACTCTACTGCATATAATTTGTGAACATTTGCATGATTGTACACTTTAAACAACCTTTCAGGCGGAAAGGGACTGACAAAATTTATACCGAGGGATTGTCTAAATTCCACTTTAATATATATTCTATTCTCTTTGGTAAATTTGATACATAGATGCTTGGTACACAATGGACTCAATTCAAGTCACGCACTTGATTCATGCGCCAAAAAAGGATGAACAAAAAATATTCAATAAAAAAGGCCAGATTCAAAAATATTCTTACATCAAGACTCAAAAAACATTCCTGCATTAAAGATGCGTATTTAATTATGTTACAGTGAAACCCTTAATAACGAATACATCGGAAGAATTTATCAAATGTCGTCTTGACAATTTTCAATGAATTTTATACTATATTACGTAAATTTCACTATTTGCGAAAATAAATAAATAGCCATGAATATGCGGAAACAGTTTTAAAGAGTTCCATAAAATCATTTGATTAAAAAACTAAATATCTGCAATATTCCATTATCAGAAAGTGAAGAATACGACATTTGATGAATTCTTTCGATGTATTCATTATTAAGGGTTTCACTGTATAAAGCAAATAATTTTATCAGTAGTTTGAAAATCAATTTATCAAGTGAAATGAATCTGACTTTGTGTCTGTGTGCACTGTACAATGAATAAAAATGGCTGAGCTTTATGTTCATAGAACTTTAGTACATAACCATAGAGAATAGAATATATAGAGACGAATTTAATGGAAAAAAGTGTAAAACGGCCATTTTGTTGTACTGTTTCCATACTGCAGGTGTACTTCACATATTTATGCTACATAACCTGTTGGGCCCTGGAATATGATTTTATAGAAAATCTCAAATTATTGTTAAAAGAAAACCAAATTATGAAATAGGTTGGTTTCATAATTGACCAATGATCATTTCACATAGACTCTATGCCTTCCACTTTACAAACGATGATTTTCCGTTATAATTATAAATCAAATGATGTTTTTATTCAACTAATTCATTATAAAGTTTATTTAACAGTTTAAAAATGAATAGTCTAGGGAACATACTGTTTTAATGCACTCTACTGCATATAATTTGTGAACATTTGCATGATTTGTACACTTTGAACTCCCTTTCAGGCTGAAAACGAAAAAAAAAAGAAATACAGAGAGATTCGTATAATTCCTCTCTATATATTCTATTCTCTATGTACTTAACCCTATCACAGCTGGGGGGGGGGGGTTGCTTTCACCATACCCCCTGTGAGCGTACACTCAGGACAGTTTACTGATAAAGGATATTAAGAGATTATGGCCTATTCATACAGTACAAACATCAAATATGCAGTACGCTTTCGGAGTACAAGTTTATGGGGAGGTTTTGTATCTTGAATTTTACTCAGTTTTCTCAGAACAGTTTATTAATGATGAAATATTGCTCTGTAAAAGACTGTAAACGTACGTCTTCCTTTAAAAATGGAATCCTGCACACGATTTAAATATTTTCAAAAATCATCCCCGAGTACTGTAACATACAGATTGACCTTTGGAAGTGAAGTACATGGCCTGTTCATAAGTAAAGGATTAGCGTACATCATCACGCTTTACACTATAACCTCGTTGATTTTTTCTAAATAACTTAAAAATAGCTTTCATTAGAACGCTAAAATTTCTTCACTTCTTCAACATCATAGTCGTGAACAAATTTTGGCATTTCTAAACTTAAAAAAAAATTTTATTTATAGAGTAGGACAGTCAAAAACTTTTTAACTAATTAAGCTACAGGACTAAAATCTATATATTTGAAAATGTTATATATTTGTCCAAAAATTAAAATTTTTTAAATTTTTTTCCGACGTACTTTTTCAAAACCTTTTTAATATCCTTTCTTTCACCCTAACCATAAAAGTTAGAGTTTGATTTTTGATTTAATACGCAGGCCTTAAAAAGTTGGACCAAAGACATGTATCACACTCCCATATCTTAACTCTAAGGGCAAAATCGTAAGGGGGATAGACCCCCCCCCCCCAACCGTATGGTATTATAGGGGGTCATGTGGGATTTTTGGCCTCTTAAAATTTATTTGTCTTGTGTTTCATGTTGAAAATGGACAACATGAATATATTCTGAAAATCTTTTCATTTACAAACATTGAATCAATTGTAGCTAGCATTGATTTACAATGATTTTAATTTAAAGTTAAGCTTTTCCCGTTCATATATTTATTCTTGAATGGTTCCGGTAAACCCGCAATATATTCAGATGTCGTCTTTGTTACAGCGACCTTTTTTGGAAGAAAAACTTATATTTTATTATAGCGCAAAAGAAAAAGAAAGCATCATATAAAAGAGATATAGGGGCTCCAGCAGCACCCCAAATCCTTGATTTAGTCATAGTAGCGAGTTGAAAAATCCTTTTTAAAGTGTTTTCAATGAAATAGTAAGTTTTCGGTCGAAATTCTTAACTTAAACATAACATTTAAACATCTTAGAGACTTCTCTCAAAAAAATTATTTTACAGCAACAGATAGAAGTAAGATTAGAAGGGATCAAAAGCGCTTTTTTATCGCATTAAGACTATATCCCCTTTCATTTTTCGCGAACACTCCCTTTAAGTATGACAGCCTTCTTCCAATTCCATAGTTTTATGGGTAGCACTGTATAATTCAAAGATATTCCTTTTTGTTCAATTTTATTTTGTTTTCCAAACCACACCAAAGCCGCCGCCGAACCGTTAGATCAGGTGTTTTAATATAATAAATCTTATTAGTGATTTAATCAAACTTTTAGATTTAGACCTAAGCTAAAGATTCAGCCTGAAACACCTTCTATGTTTACTGTACAGTATGCAGGGTATAAAACAACCCTTGAAAATAGTATTGTTCGCTACCAAAAACAGTTCTCAGTGCGGCATATTTTTTATCCTCCATTAGATGGGGTGGGGGGGGGACTAGAAACTACTGGACACTATAAACAACGTTTTTTGAAGAAAATGCTGTACAATTTTATAAGAGTGGTTCAATCATTTTGAATTCCCATTCAGTCCATCTATTTTTAACAATAATTCAGGGTCTCCATTAAAAATTTCAGCCTATTTGGTCCAGCCGTTTTTATTTATATCACTGAGATATTGACAACTCTGAAAGTTACACATTAAATTCTTCGACAGCCTCACTTATACTTTTTGTATTACATAGATAATAAAAATCATCCAAAAAATACCTATACTGGTTAATTGGTTCAAGTAATGGATAAGGGTAGGGATATGGTAAAAACTATGAAAACTTGGATTTTTTTCTTCATTTTTCTTAAATCTGTCCCAAAAGCCTCAACAGACCCTGTTCCCGCCCAGCTGTAAATAATGGAAAAAAATGTTTGAGCGGGTAATAAAGAATTATATAAAGATGTCTAATTCAAGAATATGTGTGTGTGCTGAGTTTTGAAAAGAAAATAAAATAATTTTAATCAACATTTTATAATAATTACGTAATTATAAACAGCTTTGAGTTGAACTGGTTCTAAAAGATTTTAATTTATAACATGTATTCTCTTAAAAAAAAAAATAAAAAAATTTTAAAAATATTTTTTGTATTTGTAAAATTTAAATTGATAATTTTACATTGAACCATTTCACGTGCAGAAAATTTCGAGAAATCAAAATGGTAAGGCCCCAAGTCAGCTTTAAATAACAGCCGTTAAACTTTGACATTTACCGTCTGTCTGCGCGCTGTGAGCGCTGTGGACACGCCTCTCTGTTTGGAGGTATAAAAGAGTGCGCAGTGTCTGTAGTTCTCATTCACTGCCAGTGAGAAGAAACATGCTCAAGTTCGTCGTTCTGGTGAGTTCATATATCTTTCATCTTCGTTAGAAAACCCTAAAAAATACAACATTATTCTTTTGCTTACATTCTTTATTTTTGCTGTTTCTGTGCTGATATAATTCTAAAAGATTCTTAACGTATTTTCGTGAAATTTATTGTAATAAATTGTTTTGAAAGTAAGAATTGAATCCTGTGAACCTATGATTTTAATCCAAGTTTATTAATCAGGTTTGCCTTGCCGCTTCCGTGGCTGCTGAAGCAGCAGCTGATGCTGATGCCTACTATGGAGTCTATGGATATGGTGGCTATGGAGCTTTTCCTTATGGATATTCCAGAGGATATTACGGCTACGGTTATGCAGCCAGGCCCTACGGCTACGGACACTACCTAGGCAAGAGGTCTGCTGATGCTGAGCCCACTGCTGATGCAGAGCCTACTGCCGCTGCTGAGCCCACCGCTGATGCTGATGCCTACTATGGTGTATACGGATACGGATATGCTGCTCCCTATGCCTACAGAGCCTATGCTGCTCCTTATGCTTATGGATACAGTGCCTATGCCCACCCTTATGCCTACGGACACTACTACGGACGGTACCTAGGCAAGAGGTCTGCTGATGCTGAGCCCACCGCTGATGCTGATGCTGATGCTTACTATGGATCTGGATATCCCCTTGCCTACGGATACGGATATGCCCACCACGGATATGGATATGGATATCCCCGAGCCTACTACGGATATGGTTATGGCAGATAATTCAAATCCTGATCAGTTGTTAACATCAAAATATTTATAGAAAAGGCAGAATGATCAAATCTCACTGGCATGAGTTCAGTGCCCATAGTTTATTCTATGGTGTAGGAATTTTGAATCATTAAATAAATCTTATTGAAATTTTTGAATTATGTGAAACACTGAAGAGTTTTTGAGATAACAAAATCAAGTGTTAAAGAGATAACAGAATCAAGAGTTAAGAATCAATGGGCAGATATAAAAGAATAAACAGTTAGAGATAACAGATCAAGGGTTAGAGATAACAGAACCAAGGGTTAGATATAATAGAATCGAGGATTAGAGATAACAAAATAAGTAAAGATTAGAGATAACAGAATCTAGTGATATCGATAATAAAATCAATGTATGAGGTATGATAACATAATCAAGGGCTGAGATAATAGAATCCATGTTTATTGATAACAAAATCAAGGGTTAGAGGAAATAGAATCAAGGTGTAAAGATAACAAAATCAAGGGTTAGATATAACAGAATCCAGGGTTAGAGATAATATAATCAAGGTTTAATGATAACAAAATCAAGGGTTAGATATAATAGAATCAAGGTTTAATGATAAAAAATCAAGGGTTAGAGATGATTTAATCAAGGTTTAATGATAACAGAATCAAGGGATAGAGATAATAGAATCAAGGTTTAATGATAACAGAATCAAGGGTTAGAGATAACAGAACAAAGGGTTAGAGATAACAGAACAAAGGGTTAGAGATAATAGAATCAAGGTTTAATGATAACATAATCAAGGGTTAGACATAATAGAATCAAGATTTAAAGATAACACAAGATAAGTTTTATAGTTAGAGATAACAGAACAAAGGATTAGAGATAACAGAATCAAGGTTTAATGATAACAAAATCAAGGGTTAGAGATAACAGAACAAAGGGTTAGAGATAATAGAATCAAGGTTTAATGATAACAGAATCAAGGGTTAGACATAATAGAATCAAGATTTAAAGAAAACACAATCTAGGGTCAGAGAAAACAGAATCACGGTTTAAAGATAGCAGAATCAAGGGTTAGACATAATAGAATCAAGGTTTAACGATAACAGAATCAAGTTTAAGAGATATCATTATCAAGGTTTGCTCCTAAAAAAAGAATATGACTGGAAACCTGGTTTATTTCTATAATTAAATAGTAATTGGTTAGACCTCTGGTGGATTGATCCTTAGCTAGTAAAAAAAGTTTTACTAGGAAATACAGAAATTCTTGAAATACAACAAAATAAAGTTTAAGATAATTTTTTTATTTTAGATTAATGGTGCATGTTAATTTTTTATCTGAAATCATTGGGCATCTGTTTTACAGAAGTTGTTAGATTTAAACAAAAACTGTTTGTCACTTTTTCGTAAACTTATTCGGACTACATACATTAGCCAATATCTCCAATATGTTCAAGACATTATTTGTTTCAATCTACCACTACTGTTTTTTAACATAATCTAAATTTGAAATATCAAAAGTTTACAGGTTTAAAAGTTGCAAAGATAAAGGGATTAGAAAATTTTATTTCCGAGTCAATGGCTTTTCTCTAGATCTTCCTCATTCTCTTCATCTTTAGCTCTTTCTCCATCTTCATCCTTCTCTTCATCTTTATCCTTCTCTTCATCTTCTTCCTTCTCTTCATCTTCATCCTTCTCTTCATCTTTATCCTTCTCTTCATCTTCTTCCTTTTCTTCCTCTATATTCTTCTCTTTATCTTTATCCTTCTCTTCATTTCCTTCCTTCTCTTCCTCTTCATCCTTCTCTTTATCTTTATCCTTCTCTTCATCTTCTTTCTTCTCTTCCTCTTCATCCTTCTCTTCATTTTTGTACTTTTCTTCATCTTTATCCTTCTCTTCATCTTCATCCTTCTCTTCATCTTTATCCTTCTCTTCATCTTTATTCTTCTCTTCATCTTCATCCTTCTATTTATCTTCATCCTTCTCTTTATTTTCATCCTTCTCTTCATCTTCATCCTTCTCTTCATTTACATCCTTCTCTTCATTTTATCCTTCTCTTCCTATTCATCCTTCTCTTCATCTTCAGCCTTCTCTTCATCTTCATCCTTTTCTTCATCTTCATCCTTCTCTTCATCTTCATCCTTCTCTTCATCATCATCCTTCTCTTCATCTTCATCCTTCTCTTCATCTTCATCCTTCTCTTCATCTTTA